TCCATTCATTCAAATGAATGGTGTGTTGTGATGTATTCGATCTGAATAAAGTTTCCTTATGGGAGCTGAACCCTTTCAGTCCTGGAAATATTCTACAAACCAATATATACCAATAAACATTAATAGAATGGATTTAAAATATTAAATCAATCTGATGATCGGACCATTTAGAATAAGTTAAAGATGCTGATCCATGTAGAAGCTCCTTTAAATGCTAGCCCATTTAAACTTGATTCGGTTTAAAGAAGTTTTAGAACGTAATCGATGTTTTTCTTTATCTTTTTTTTAACAATACAGCCTCCTTACCCAAAATATGCAGCTGAACTTAACCAATATTCAGGCCCAGTAGCCGAAGAAGTGACATTTAGGTGGTTAACCGGTACAAAACAGTAATTCTGCGCCTGTTAGCTTTTGTTAGCTTACCTGACTGATTCGTCGTAATAAAGACGAATAAACAAAAAAATAGATTTCAGCTTCACGATTAAAAAATGAAGAATAAATGGTGTAAATTAGTGGCCGAACCAGGCCAGGCTCAGACCAACTTCATTCATGGAGCGGAGTTGAAAACTAGCAGGTTTTGCTTTAAAACAATCCGCCTCGGTCCAAACCACGGTAAATTCTTTCCTCTCCAGTTAAAGCTGCCCAAACAGCTGCCTGGCCAAAAACATATTAGCACATTTAATAATAATAAATACAAAAATATAACAACAGATATGGTCCTGATGCGTCTTCTTTTTTCTGTTAAACGTAATTGTTAGAGATAATATACGTCACATCCGGTTAGAACAGTCGTGCTTTTTACAGAAAAGGCGGTGTGGGCCATAGATATCCATATATCTATGGTGTGGGCAGCCCTCTGCGCCGGGAAAGTTTTACCCTCAGCGAGTTCTTGCAGGCACTGTCAACCATACATGAACAGTAGCTCCTCTGCTCTATAAAGGTGTAGGAGAGCTCGAGGTGACAGGAACAAGTCACAGCTCAAATAATATTAGTGAAAAGGGGGGGGGAAAGGGGGGGGCAGTGAGGGAGAATGAAGAGTTACAAGAAGAAGAAGATTCTAATGACTTATTAAACAAACCTTTCACAATGATAGAACAGATGATGATAAATTAAAGGTTAACATACCATATGGGAAAAAAAGGATATATAGCCAAATACCAAAGTGGTTTTAGGGAATGAAGAAATACAATGGATCGAGCTGTATGTTTAGAACATGAAATTAGAAAGGCACGAGTAAACAAAGAAAGTGTAGTGGCTGTCTTCTTTAAAAGAAGGCATATGATATGATGTGGAGAGAAGGACTGTTAATTAGACTCTCACAATTAGGTATCAAAGGACGGATATATAGATGGATTAAGGATTCTTTTTACAAGGGAGATTAGTGCAAGTTAGAATAGGGAAGAATTACTCAAGGAAATATATTATAGAGAACGGAACACCTCAAGGAAGCATAATAATAATTACATTATTATTCTCCATATTAATAAATTATGTTTTCACTTTTTGCGGATGACTGGGCAATTTGGAAGAAGGGAAGAAATCTGAAATCTATTGTAAGGAAACTACAAGATGCTAAAATAGAGGAGTGGTAATATAAATGGGGTTTTAAATTGTCTGTAGAATAGACAAAGACAATGGTTTTTACAAAGTAAAGAATTGGTACTGACATAAAACTAAAGTTGTTTAATCAAGAATTAGAAAGAGTTAAACAATTTCAGTTTTTGGGGTTATGGTTTGACGAGGGTATAACATGGAGCATACATATCCAGAAAGTACTGGACAAATGTAGGACGGTGTTAAATGTTATGAGATATTTAATGGGAAGTGATTGGGGAGCTGATAGAAAAGCATTGAAGGCAATTTACTGTGGACTAATTAGATAAGTATTGGATTATGGGTGTGTTGTGTGTGGATCAGCATCAAGTACATCTCTAAAAAAAATTGGACAACATCCAGTTCCAGGCTTTGAGATTATGTACAGGGGCTTTTAAAACAACTCCAACAGCAGCATTACAGGTGGAAATGGGTGAAATGGCTCTTGAGTTAAGAACAATTCAGTTATCTCTGAATTATTGGGCTAATTTACAAGGTCATAGTGAAGATCATCCAGCACAAACCACTTTAAAATTTTGTTGGGAAATGGAGAAAATGGAGAGTAAAAGCTTTGGGCGGACAGTTAAACAAAAAGCAATGGAGTTTGAATTAAATGATGTAAGGTTCAGTCCAACAGTACCATTACCAGCAAGGCAAGGCAAAGGCAAATTTATTTGTATGGCACAATTCAGTATAAAGACAATGCAAAGTGCTTTACATGATTAAAATATAGGAAAATAAAACAGAATCAAAGCAAGTACCACCTTGGATACAACCTGAAGCGAAAGTATGCAGATCTGACACTATTAGAAAAGAAAAATGAGGATAGGAGGTGTAATTTGAATTCACATACAATACAGGATTCACATACAATACAGGTACTACAGTTTCATCCAGATATACACAGATGCATCAAAAAGTTTAGTTACCAAGATAGGAGTATATTTTATTATTTATTTATTTATTTATTTTAATAGGAAAGAGAACCGGTGATAATATCTCAGTATACACAGCAGAAATGCTTGCAATTCTGTTTAGAGTACAATGGGTAGATGAAATAAGACCACTGAGCGTGGTTATTTGGTCAAATTCATCGTCATCACTAATCAGTTTACAGAGAAGTCACTCAGATAGCAGAGCAAATATTCTGATTGAAATCCAGCGAACATTATACAGAATTCAAATGATGGGCATAACAGTCATATTTTTGTATGGGTACCAGCACATAGGGGAGTTAAAGGAAATGAAATGGCAGATAAGGCTGCAAAGGAAGCTACAAAAAGAGAAGCCATCGATCTGTCAGTTAAAATTAGTATGATGGAAACAAAGAGCATCATTAAACAGAGATTGAAGGCAAGGTTGCAAAAGCAATGGGAAGAGAGAGGAAAGGACGGTGTTTTTTATGATTCAGAGGAGATGTGCAGGAAGGAACAGAAGAGAAGAAACAATTATATCAAGACTTAGATTTGGGCACACAGGATTAAACTTTACTTTGTTTAAAACAGGTAAACAAAACACCAGTATGTGTGAATACTGTGAGCAACAAGAAATAATTGAACATGTTATGGTACACTGTAAGAAGTATGAAAGGAAAAGGAGGGAATTGGTTCAAAATCTTAAAAAAGAGAGAATACACTTTAATTCTATAGAAATCCTTAGAAAGAACTCAAGAGCTAAGTGGTATGTAATTGTTTTTCATTTTCTTAGATTAATCAATGCAATTGAGAGGATTTGAATCTTATTTTGGTTTTGTTGATTTAGTTGTGTTCAGTTTAAGTAGATAGTTGCCATTCAGATCCACACTCCATACCAGTTGGTGGCGGTAATGCGCCATTTCGTTGCGTAGGAACCGCCAATAATATCCCATAAAGCAGAAGAAGAAGATGACGGGAATGGTATTCGCTCACCACCTCCCGCCACAGAGCAGACGTTCAACTGGTGACTGGAGACACATCGGATACTCGAATCTGACCCAGCATGGATAAAGACAGGTAGGACTGATTTAAAGCACTTTATTAGAAAAGGCAAAGAAGAATGAACAATCTAGGATTCACATGGAAAGTAATATAATATAGTCTACTTTTTCTACATGTTTTTCATTGAAAAGTTGCTCTTAATAACACATTATCAGAAAATACATAGTTTTTATATATATAAAAAAATTAAATAAAAAGCTGACTAAAGCCAGGCTTAAACGGTTCGATTTTTTTGCCCTTTAATAGGAAATGAGAAATGTAATTTAAGTTGGATCAGTGAATTTAATTCAAGATTATCATTTATTAATGAGCATGAATCAGTTTGGTAGACTAACTGATCTGAATCATGAGTTGTTTTTTTAAAATAGAGACATTATGTAAGTCTTACTGAAAAATAACCATTTATTTGACCCTTTATTACAATTTGACTCCATTATTAAACAGGTAAATTTTTTTTTTTGGTCAGTGACACCATATTGGACCATGCAAAACACAGATATGCCTCCACAAAGCCTCAGAAGGGCAACATTTATGTACAAAAAATAAACCTGTATATGGAATTGTGTTTTGTTTTTATAAAGTGTGTTTATAAAGTGTTTTTTGTTGTTGGCATTCATATAGATATACTGGTGTGATAAATAAGTATACGTTGATTTTTGGTATATGTCCATTTTGAATTTATAGCCCCCCCTGGAGAAAACTCCACCAGCCGCCACTGGTAAAGATGTAGTTATTGTGTAAAATGTGCTCTACATTTTATCTAGAGCTTGTTTTGTAGTTGTTGCAATATAAAAACAATGGATGACTGTGGTAGTCAAAACAACCCTGCTTTTGATAGGAACTTTTCCCGATATAACATTAAACTACACATAATTTACACATTCTATCCCTTAGCCTTATATTGCATTATATATATTAATGTGATAGAACCTAATATGCAAAGATATAGTGCCATATCTAATCATTTTAATTTACTTATAATGATTTCTAACCACCTTCAACACTCAGTATTTTTCCCTTATCACAGAAAGCAGGGCTTTCTCACAAAGAAATTCAAATGTCTGCCCTTTTTTCTTGGCTATTGATAAGAAACTGTTCCTTTCAATTCATAGTCAAAGTAGGTTTGGGGCATTTGCATTGCATTGCTCTGGAAGTGGTGTTAATGTTCAGGAATGTAAGGTGTGGCTGTAAATTGGGGGCTACTTGCATTCCTGTTTTGACGATAATCAGAGTTTACAATTGCTCGGCCATACAGTATCGTGTGACCAGTGAAATGGGTGAATAGGTTATTTCAGTGCAATGTGCAAACAATTCAAATTAAAATCAGTCTCTCCAACACCCAGTCTTTTCCTGCAGGTTATCTGGAATTTAATAAGTATGTGTACTATTTATATAAACATTTGTTTTAATGTAGTTTTTTTCCATTTCAGAATGCCAGCAGCAAGGAGAGATCCTCGGTACAGTGTGCAGGATATCACTGAAATCGTCGAAGATGGAGAGAGTGATGTGGACATACCATTTGATGACACCGATGCGAGTGACGAGGAGTCAGACAATGACTGTGTGGACAATGAAAACCAAGAGCCCTCTGACTGCCCAGCCAATTCTGACATTGAGCTCAGAGAACATGAACCCATCATGCCCCGTGACAGATATCACTGGCAAAAAAAGGACTTTATCAGTCCCAATACTGATTTTTCTGGTCCACCTGTCACAGACCATGTAACCTTCCTCCAGACTCCACTGCAATACTTCCAAAAGTTTGTGTCAGAGGACATGATTCAAGCCCTGGCTACAAGTACAAATGAGTACAGCGTTCAAAAGAATGCAAGGTCTGTTAACACTAATACAAAGGAAATACAGAAAATGTTGGGCATGTACCTGAGGATGGGCTTGGTACAAATGTCTGGAAGCCGTATGTACTGGGAGACAGATACACGGCACCCACCTATTGCTGATGTGATGCCACGCAACAGATTCCAATCTCTGTTGACAAAATTACATTTTGTGAACAATTTGACAGCGTCAGAGATTGAAAAGAAGGACAAACTCTGGAAACTCAGACCATGGCTTGAATCATTCAGGGAGAATTGCCTGCAGGTGGTACCAGAAGAGCACAATTCTGTGGATGAAATGATGATTCCTTTCAAGGGGAAGTTCAGCAGCATCAAGCAGTATATGCCAGGCAAGCCACACCCATGGGGGTTCAAAGTATGGGTGAGAGCTGGAATCTCTGGCATGATGCATGACTTCCATGTTTACCAGGGAGGCAAGAAAGGAATACGCGTCAAATCTGAGCTTGGATTGTCAGGTGATGCTGTGTTGAAGCTTGCCTCCACACTTCCAAAAGGTCAGAACTACAAGATCTACGCAAACAAGTACTTCACCTCCGTTCCACTGATGGTGAAGCTCCTTGAGCATGGAATCCATTATGTGGGTAAAGCCAGACAGGTGCGGCTCCCCAACTGCAACCTTAAAGATGAGAAGACTTTGAAGAAGGAGGGTAGAGGAAGCTTTGACCACAGAGTGGAGGGGACACACAACATCTGCGCTGTAAAATGGTATGATGACAGGGCAGTCACACTTGTGTCATCCTTCACTGGACCAGAACCTGTGCAGGAGATTCAGCGCTGGGACAAAGCCACCAAAACCTACATTGACGTTGAAAGACCTTACATTGTGGCTACCTACAACAAATACATGGGAGGTGTGGAGTTGTTGGACTTGCTTACAGCGAAATACAAGTTCACCCTGAAATCCCGGCGTTGGTACATGTACATCTTCTGGCACACCATCACCCTCGCCGTGGTCAACGCCTGGCTCCTCTACAAACGGCACTGTCAGGCTCTCGCGATGCCAAAGAAGGAGATGCTAACCATGAGAAAGTTCCAGGCACAGCTAGCATCCTCTCTAATCCTGGTAAGAATATATCTCTGCTATTTGCCATGTTTTGAGATTTCTTCATGCATTTTTTTGACATGTGCACAAATTGATTATTAATAATAATATTGATTCTTCTCCTTTTCAAATCAGATGGACACAACACTCACAACTCCAAAAAGAGGACGTCCATCATCAGGCAGCGGGAACCCAGACGCAGCAGGGAGTCCTTTGGCTGCTAGGAAGAGACCATCCTCAGATGAAGGGAGTCCAAATTGTCCCTCCAAGAAATCATGTAGTCACCCCCCACTCGATGTGCGCAAGGACCTCACTGGACATTTCCCCATGAAGTTGAAGAGAGGACGCTGCAGACATTGCAGTAAAGGGTATACGAATACCCAGTGCAGCAAGTGTGATGTTCGCCTCTGTTTTTCAGAGGACAGGAACTGTTTTTGGGACTATCATTGTAAATAAAAAAAATAAAAAAACTGTTCATAACAACATGACTGAGATTACTTTTTATTGTTATACTGTTCTGGGACCCCTTAGTCTGTTTCAATTTGCATGTTTTCAAAACAAAAACAAGGTTTTGTTGGGCTACTGTATAAAGCCTGGAACTCAGCGCTATTCCTGACATTTTGAATTACAAAAGCTTCCTGGATGGGAAAAAAAATGTCTTCAAACTCGTAGACAAATTCTAGTGGATTTTTTTTTATTTTATTTTCTTGGAAAGAGGAAAAGATATGTCCCGCTATGTATTTCAAATATAAAAATAAAATCCAGCAGTAAAATAAATTATTTTTGCAGCTAAAATAATCCATGAATATATCGTATCAAAATCTGTGTCAATGATAAAAAAGTTTAGATTTTTATATCCAGATAAATTCACAACCATTAAGACAGCTATAAATCTGGATCATTCCCATTAGCAGCCTGAAGCTCCCACACCAAAAAATACATGTTTTGTTATTACACGTATTCGTCAATGAAAAATAATTTCTCAGGGCCAGCATAAAAATAATCTGCCCTTTAATAAAATTATAGTTAAACCTTACAAGACAATATTTTTAATCCAAAGCCTATTTTTATTTTTTTTCATTTGTGCATAGATACAGCTATGGCTTTTTTTTTTATATATATATTTAATATAAGGTTTAAAGTGAATGTAGATTTTGCTTTTTCACTGTACGATATTTTTCTTTTGTACAAATTTTACAATAAAAGTTACATAAAAAATGTAAAGTATATTCTTCAGTGCATCTTTATAGCAATTTTAAAGTTTGCATCCATTTATTTATTTTTTTATCAATGTCCTTCATGGGGACAACAATTCCTGGTGCTGAACTCTGCACTGAAACTATCAACTTCCAACATATAATGTTAAAGAATTCTTTAAAAATGTATTGGATTACTCCGTGGACTGAGGTGCACCTTAGATAAAAAAAAATTCATGAAAATCTGTTCATAACATTTCAAGTTATGAACAAGTTATACCCATCTGTCTGTACACTTAATATGTTTAAACCATGTTTATCTGTATTTTTGTTGTTTCTTTCTTATACCTTATGCACTATATAGCATAAGGTTAAAACAAAACAAAAACTCAAAAAGACTAGATTTATGTTTAAATCCAAGCCGAAAAAGTTGTGAAAAAGGGATTTTAAGGCATCTTTTTTTGTCAGGAATTACATAATTAACCTTTAAGACATTATATGTTAGTACGTTTACTATTTTTGGGGATGGAAAATGTTGTTTAGGTATTTTTAACAAAATAAAATCAAGGAAGACCCGGATGTTTTTTTGGATATACATCTAATATACATCAACAGATCGTAGATCAGGTAGTAACAGGGAACTCTAGCTGGGTCGATCTCGTACAAGATGTTTAAATGCGCACGCATGCTGTCATCATTGAGAGATTGGAGCAAAACCTTACTCTGCAATTTAAAATACAGTGCATGATTTTGTTTCACCTTTAAAATCCTGATCTACTGCTCAGAGAAAGAGTCAAAACTGAAACAAATCAAATATTTTAATGGAAATATGGTGCATCTGGCATCAATAGCCTGGCTGTCATTAAACATGATGCACCAGACTACAACGTGGTAATTCCCATTGGAATACCTTGGCAGTATTTAAAAAATATTGATAAAAAAAATAATAATTTAAACAAAAAGAAGATGCATATCCTGTAGAAAAATATGATTCAAGTCTATTTTTGACTGATCACAGAGGACTCCCCTAAATCATTGATTGCATTCCCTCCCCATCAGCCATTAGGACTGTGGAGGACACTCTTTTTATATTGTCTTTAATGGCATCTTGTTTTAACTCCGTCATTTGTACCCTATAAAAGCTCCTGGAACCAGAATTAACCTGAAGGAGTAATCCCAAGGGATACATAAACTTGAGTCTAAGCCTATGAAGTCATAATATTTAGGTTTTTGGTGTGAAGGCAGGGAAACATTTAAAACATACAGTAGGTCCCGAAGACCAGGAAAGAAAACCATCCATCCATCCATTTTCCGTCACGCTTTATCCCAAGTGGGGTTGCAAGGGGTGCTGGTTCCTATCTCCAGCTGTCTACGAGCGCGAGGCGGGGTCCACCCTGGACAGGACATCAGTCCATCACAGAGCAAAAAAGAGACAAATACATGCACATTTAAGGAGAATTTAGAAAAGCCAAGTAACCTAACAGTCATGTTTTTTGGACTGTGGGAGGAAGCCAGAGTACCCAGAGAGAACCCACACATGCACAGGAAGAATGTGCAAACTCCATTCAGAAAGACCCTGGGCTGGGAATTTAACCTAGAACCTTCATGCTGCAAGGCAGCAGTGCTACCCACAGCATCACTGAGCACCCCAGAATGAAAACCTGATGGCTTAAATGATTTTGAGTTTCCTGAACCATGTACGGATATAGTTGCTTCTGAGGTTAAACCTGAGCTGGAAAAACATGATTGCTTCTGTCCACTGACGTCCAAAGAAAGTATAAGATCTCATATTGGAGGACAAGTTAAGATCTACTGACTCTGCAGAGAGAACCAGAAAACACCAAGACACACAACAAACTCTGATAACATGATGTGATTTCAATGTTTTATTCATTGTGGTGGATTCGTTTTAATCATTTACAGTTACAAACTTGCTGCTTTACTCTGTCAATTTAAAAGTCTCTAGATCAAAGTGCTGCTTCACTATTCGGGGTTTTACAGAAAGCCACCAGCTGTCTACTCAGTCATCTACTCAGCTGTTTGGAATTCACAAAGGATGCCACATCTCGCTGCTCCATCAGCTACTGTCTGTTTTGTTGCAAATCCTTCACCCTGTCCTGGATTTATTTACACTCAGTTCTGGGACCAGATCTGATTCAGCATTTAGTTCTTTTGATCTCACTGAGGGTCCTGGTTAAGGAAATGTCCTGCCTCCCACAGCAGAGCTCGCTGGTTCTTATGGCGAACGACCCGTGTTGACTCCACCACCTGAAACAGAAGAAATGGAGTTAGAAGGAAAAAAGGAGTAAGAGGAACCAAGGAGCCAGAGAGGACATCTAGTCAATGAGACACAGAGACTAAGAACAAGAAGACAAGGAGGAAGAGGAGACCATGAGACCCGGAAACAGAAGAAATACTAATGGGATAGTAGATGCATGGATTTAGTTTTTGTCTTAAAAAATAAAAATACTTAGAGACTGGTTTTGAGTTCAGAGTTTAAACAAACTAAAGGGTTAAAAAATCAGGGCCTTTAAAGTAGACTGAATGGAAGTTATTAGGGACAGCTTTGAAAGGATTGGCTTGTTTTTTGCTGAGTTTTTAGCCTTTTAACCAAGAAGTATTCATTTGGGCTGTTTTTCCCAATGTTCTTTGCATTGTTGTAGCTGTTAGGGTGATAAGAAAGAACGTACATAATTCAATGGAATGATGTATCATTAACACTCATATTACTGGTTAATTTCATTTGGAATGTAGAGAATATGCCACCTTGAAATAACAAATCAGTGATGACCATAGGTAAATAAGTATCTTTGTAAAACTGTTCATTCAGTATGTTAAGGTTGGCTATATATTCATACTTGAACTATAAACAAGCCTCCACCCACTAGGTGGCAGCAGTGTTTAACCTTTTCATAACATGAGGACCCAAATTTGGGTCCTCAGCACTCGCCCCAAGATGGTTTTTAGACCTGTAACATATTCTCTGGGGTCTTGCCTTTATTTTGATACCAAAACAATTAAAATAAACTCTGTAGTTCTTGAGATATATATTCAATTCATTTTGGGCATGTTATTTTCAAGCATATTTCTCGAAAACAGGCCTAGTGTCCAAGAGGTTAAACTAATCAACAGGTTCAGAAACCTGGAGGTCTGAGCTTAACTAAGCTACACTGAAAAACCTTAGCCTGTGGGCCTTTACTGTTTAGCTTTATCTTTTCGTTTAGAGACAGCATCATGCTAAAGTGGGAAAAAATAAAAAAGAATATTGCAAATGGAACGGGGAGCCGATCCTGGGCTACAATTATTTACTAAGTGGGAGGCTGGATCAGGAACTAAAATCATTGGCTGTGTCCGAACATCAGCCCTAATCTCTCAATCTCTATATAGAGTAGGGACTTCATAGAGAACTCAGTTAACTGGCCTTTTCAGACAAATGACCACTCCTTTTCGCTCTCTGTGCTCTCCGCACAGTGCCTGGTGTCATCTTTGTTCTTTCCCGCCGCAAAAATGCTTTGTGAGGAGAGCTCTTGCAAAAGTATTCAGGGATATATCTGTTCACCAAGTCACCATGATTACATTATAATTTTCAAGGTGCATTGTGGGAAATTTTTAGTCCACACGGTAAATTTTGCACTGTTTAAGTAACACTTTAAGAGTTAAATTTAACACCAATCCGAGTGCATTTGGTCTCACTCTGAGTTAGTGTTAAAGTAACTCTCTACATAGTGTATATCTTGCTCCAGTTGCTGTAATAACTCTAAAAGAGTCAATGCACTTTGACACCACATATTTAACACTGTGGAATTAACTGTGCACTACTTTTTTTTTTATTCACTAGACATTCAAACACTTGTAAAATGGCGTAACCCCTATAGAGTGCTGTATTTAGGGGTCAGGCGTTCGGACACAACCATGGACCCCCTGGGGGGCTGGATCAGGAACTAAAATCATGGACTATCTGGAATAATGTATATCTGTCCCAGATGATTACTTCAAAGCTTAATTTAAGTATTGTAATACCAGTCCAACTTCAGGAATTCAGAGAATTTGGTTCTGCATTCTTTAATATACGAATGAGGTTCAAGAGAGGTGGAGATTAGACTGCTTTTGTAATGAGATAACCTGGAACTCATTGAAGTGGTATGGGTTATTTTTTATGTTTATTAGCCACTGTTTATTGAAATGGACTGGTTTTAATTGTGTTTGAGCTGAAAACAGTCTGGAAGATCGTGTAACCCTGATTAAAAGTGCCACTCCATGATCCTCGAAGCATACATCCAACATGTTCATTCCAGTTGTTCCATCATCTGTTAGAAGTTCTCCGGCAGGACTGGAGGAACCAGGAGATGTTTGATCGGGAATTGTGTGCTCTTACTTTAAAAACAGGCACAGAAAGGAGACCTGAAGATATCTGTGAAACTTTCTCTACAGAGGGCTATCATGTTTCAAACTCCACCAAAATCCATGCAGAGAGCAGCAGTATAGCATTGTTTTTCAAAATCTTGGAAGAAATGAACCCATCTTCATTGCAGTTAAATATTCAGTCCTATGATGTCAGTTTATACCATAACCATCCATCTTTGCTGCTTCCTAGGGTCAGATTTCTTTAATTTATCCATCCATGCTTCCATCTTGTTCCTCTTATTCGGTCAGGGTTGTGGTGGAGCTGGTGCTTATCTCCGGCAGTGTATGGGTGAACAGCGAGGTCGCCAGTCTATCTTAGGGCAACTCAGAGATATTCAGATACATGCAACCATGAACACACACTCCCACCTAAAGACAATTTAGAGAAACCAATTAACACTCATGTTTTTGGACTGTGGGAGGAATCTGGAGTACCCAGACAGAAGTTATAGTTTATTTTACCAGGAAAAAAGTCCTTAAACTGAGTGTAAGCAAAGATCTTTAACACTCCAGGCTCTTGAATGGCTTTTCAGAATAAAGATAACACTTCAAGTAAAAGTGCTGCATTCTCTTGAGGCTTGAAAGAAAAAAGGTTCTTGGTTCTATCTTTGCCTGAATATATAAAGTGTTCTAGCTGTGGTTTTGTTCTGGAATTGGTGTAACTTGTTTCCAATCCTGCACCCATTGATGGTTGATAGTGTTTACCTCATTGTTGATGTCATCAACCGGCTGAATTCCTGCATACTGAAAAAAAAACAAAAAAATGTTATAAAGGAGGTTCTGCTCCATTGTCACAGGCTAAGAACTTTTGAAATATCAACAGGAAACTCACAGCGCTTTCTTCCAACATCATCTTGGCTCGATATTCTTCAAAGTCCTGCAGCAGAGTGTCCGTCACACCTCGAGGAACTTTCCGGACCAGTGGGGAGGAAGAGGAACCAGGGGAAGGCATGGAGGACCAGGGCTTTGCAGTGACGAAGGACAGGGAAGCTGTACGAACGTTGACTCGAGGAGAGAATGAGGATGGAGTGAGGGGTTTGTCTGAGACACAGGAAGGAAGAAATATATGAACATCATAACTTCTAGAAACACCTGTGAAAGCTTTTATAAGTTCCTTTTTCCTTTTTCAGAGGAAGCATCAAAGCTTCCTTTGATGGTCTTTTTTTATGCTAAAAGAGCATCAAAGGAAGTAGTGAGTTCCAAACACAGCAGTGTGGGACACCCCTGATATTAATTCGGAAGTTGGCAAAAAATATTCTGGTTGTTCAGTTCTGGTTTTAGAGCAGTTCTAAACCCTCGTTAGATTCTCCCTAGTATTTATTAACAGTGCTGGAGTGTTCAAAGGGAAGGCTGCTCAGAACTTAAGCTAAATGCATCTCCAACATGGTAGGGATTTGTAATACTGCCCCCAATAGGTCACAATAAGAAGGACAGCCCTGTTTTTCTCAATTGTTCAGGTGTGGTATTCCTGAGGAGACAATCTAACAGGGACTGTGCTGTGAGTCAAAGTTAGAAGCAGTTACTAATTTACTCAGACTGCTGGACTCTGGCCTCATTAGTTCAGCAATTCTGCCAGCAGCGGGTTTATATTGGAGCCAGTCCTGGTTTTCACTGATTCTGTCACCTTTAACCAATCTGAACCACCTGATAGTAACCTGATAGACAGTAATATAAAACCAAAACTATGAAACACCATGAAGCTAATAAGACTGTGTGGTAAAGCTGAAAGGTTCTTTCTTTAAAAATGACAGACGTCAGCAGCAGTCAAGAGGAAAGATTAATAAGTCAGAAACTTGATGTCGTAGCCATTTTTTATCTACTGCTTAATAACTGATAGAAGGTCCATCAGGACATTCAGAACAGCTCTCTTCAAGGTGCCTTTTTGCCTTCTTCAAATGTTCTGTAGATGTACTGATGTGGTTAAGGGGCTTCAAGTCAGCCCACCCTTACCCCTGACTCACAGAGGGGCCACAAGCTCGGATTAGCTGGCCTCATGGGTTGAAAGAGTAAGATGTAACATTTTTATGACTGGCAGGCCGGAGGGCTTTAAAAAGAAATCGTAACTCTTCTTCTGCCACTGTTAGTCTAAGAATAACATGGCGAAACTAACCAGCCCAATTGTATGCAATGTATTGAGATGGATACCAATCTCTGCACAACTAAGCAGGATGTTAATGCCTTAATTCATGAATGGCTAGACAAAGTTCATACACTGGAAAAGCAATCTAGAAATAATAAAAAATTCCTTAAATTAAGTGTATTTATCCTGAATCTGAGTAGGGTAATGAGATGATTTGCCAATGGAATGAGTATTAATTAGATAAAAACACACTTGAAATAAGACAATGCAATTGTATTTTCTTATTTTAAGTGTAAATTCTCTTGTTCCATTGGCAAAATGTATCTTTTACCTCCTCAATCCAAGAACAAATACACTTATTTTAAGAAAAAATGACTTATCTAGATTTAGATTTTTTTCAGTGTAGGTGTCACCTCCCCCTGGATTATGACTGAAATGTTTTGGGAAAAAAGGCTAAGTAAATCAGAAATTTCCCATCTTAAAGACTTTTATTCTCAGTTGTCAGAACTTAACCATCGAGGCTGAGAGTTGGGACCTAGCCTGTTTACTATTTACATAAATGAGGCTTCTGTCCATCTGTATGCTGATGACACCATTGTTTACAGTCATGTTAGCCCTGTTACTCTTTGTCCCAAAAAACAAAGGTGATGGTTTATTCCAGCTAAAAGGGAATCCCTGTTAACCATAAGGAATGCCCTCAGAAGTTCTCAGCTTTTGTCCTCCCAACAACATTTTGGTATATTAAGTTAGTGAATAGTTTAATATTCACACTGATGACTTTGAAGAACCTGAAGATAAACAACAGCTTCTTCTTCTTCAAAGAAAAGTAATGCTTTTCCTTTAACACCATAAAATGACTTTTCACCACCATCTTTCTGCCTCTTTCAGACTAAGGTGGCAATTTATATATGAATCGCTCTCCTAATATTTTTCATTTAATGGGTAAACTTATCATAGAGCTCCAAGATGCATAACACGAAGAAGATATCTCATCCATAACTGAGAGATTTACTCTTTAGTTGGTTGGTCCAGAGCTTTTCATTGGTACATTTTTATCTCTAAATCCATCATTGGTTTATTGCCTCTATATTTGTCCTCTATCATGGCTCTTAAACACACCAGTTAGGTACATCTTGTACTGTTGTTTCGTATACGTTTATATGTGCCAACAGGTTTTTCTTGTAAATGAGACTACCTGTTTTAATAAAGTTTTAACTAAAAGTTAAAGTACCATTTGAAATTGAGGATAGGAACCAAGTACCTGTTTTTACTTGAGGGTAGAATTGACTATTGGTCGTCTTGACTGCCTGTTCCACCAAAGGAGCAGGAGAAAAGGTGGCTTGGCTGGTTTCTTTCATGGACTCCCTCAGCTCCCTCAGTTCCAGTTCCCGTTTCAGATTCTCCTCAATCTCCTTCTCAATAAATTCTGGAGCTCCTTGCACTCTTGACTGCAGGCCAGTGGACCCCAGGCTCTTCCTCCAGCTCTGAGTAAGCTCTATTTCACGTGAGGTTGTTGGTGTTAGCGGCACAGAAGGGGAGGAAAAGGACACTGTTTGTCTTCTGCCCTCAGAGCCCCTAGGAGTAAATGAGGAGAGGGAGGAGTTGGCTGGTTTTGTCTGAAAGATCCAAGACTCATCAGGATGTCGGTGAGGACAGCATGGAGATAGGAACACTTCGTCTGTTTCAGGATCAGACTCCTGCATGTTTCCATTTCTTTTGTTCTGATATTGTGGGTCTGACTCTTTCTTCTTGTTATCAAGTTGGGGAGGAGGATCTCTGCTGACTGGTTTCTGGATCTGTTCTGCTTGCTGATGGTCTTCTCCCCTTTGGTTTTCCTTTTGTATCTTGCTGTTGTTGATGAAACTGACTTGAGTCTTCTCAAAGGTTCTCTCGGGCTCGAAGGACGGCAGTGAACGTCTGGTTTTGATTCTGACCATCTCTCCTCGACCACTGCTTTGCGACATGCCCCGAGATCGCCGTAGTTCCTCCTCACGTTCCTGAGCCAATCGAATCTCTCTTTCAATGGGTGTTTCATGGAACACCTTGGACTTGCTTCGGTGATCTTGGTCAATGTCATCAAGCTGGGCATCATCACTGGTGTAACCCCCAGACACTTCATCATGGCCAGAGTCAATGTCATCAAAGACACTACTCTCCCTACTCAGATTTCCATTAGAATAGATCACTGTCACCTTTCTCTCAAGATCTGGCTCATCTCTCCCTGCTGGTTTAAATTGAATTGTATCATCAGTTAGATTCATGGTACCATGGATTAGCTTTCTTGACCCATAACCATCAAGATCTGATTCCGAAGTTGTGTTCAACTGTGTTCTGGAGGACTGCAGAGGGCTCAGCATCGATGCCAGTCGTTCCTGCTCCATCTGCAGAAACTTCTGTCGGGCAGCACCAAAATTGATTTGCTCCTTTACAACAGTACCTGGCTCAGTAGAGTGAGGAGGTTCTGGTCTGGAGCTGATAGGACTGAAGCTTAAGCTGAACCCATCTATCAGCCTATCTGTTGAAAGGCTAGGGTTCATAGACTCCCCTTGGGTCAATGACTCTCTCTGGCTCCTCCTAGGAGCTTGGCTGTGGATGATCATCTTTCGAAACTGCTTTTCGTCATTTTTATCTATTACTTTGACGCCACTGTTGTGGTCCACCCTATACCGGTAGTCTCCATTGCTCTCTGAGAACAGACTCTGTGGTTTCTTGTTGCTGCTGTAGGTCTGTAGCTTGAATTCTCTCTCTTTCTTTAGGATGGCAAGTTGGGCCTGCCGCTGTGGTGACATCATCCAGGCTTCATTCATCTCTGCTTCAGGACTGGTGGGATCATCCACAAAAGAGTAGAAGCCGCTCTGAGAGCCAGTGCTGCTGCAGGGACTGGTGGGCTGCCACTCCTCACCACTGGAGTTTCCATCCTGAAACACCGCAACATGCCGGACTTCTACCACAGATTTTTGGGTTCTGTCATTCTCCTGTAGGACTAACGAGGAGTTTCGGTTTAGGCTAGGAGCAGGGCCAGCAATGGTTCGCAGGTCTGAGGGCTGAAGCAAGGGGGACAGAGGCTTCATCACCCAATTCCTGGGGTAGCTATTCATTTCTGTAGGGGAAACTGTGCAAACACAGGAGGGAGGCTCTGATTGAGGAAGACTTCCTCTGGACTGCTGAGGACTCTGTAGGGACCAAACAGGCTGATAGTCTTCGTTTGAGAGTCTCTGAAAAAATACCAAAGAGGATTACAATAGAAAGGAATAAAGTAATCATTTACTCTTCCATATTCGGAAGCTTAAAGACCAAAATGAGACAAAAAAATACCAATTGATCACAACAATGTTGATCAGTAATTGCAACAACAATCCAGGAAGTGTGTTTGGTCTTTGCAAAAGGTGTGGGACCTGTCATCAACAAGAAGTAACTATCAACTCTCTGAGCTGGTGTTAGATGTTTTATGGTGAGAAGTAATTCATGTAAGGAATGTCTTATTGTTCAGTGATTAGTTTATAGCCCTGTCAGCAGCGGCCTAAATCACATGACACAATAACTGTCTGTTTATTGATATCCACTCTGTAACTGCAGAGATAAACCAACTATTTACAAGCTGCAGTGTCCTTGGTTTGATTCAGTTCAGATTAACCAAGTCCAAAATTCTTGATCATAAACCAGGCTGAAAGACCAGAGTCCAGATGGCTGCACCAGCTGGTTTACAGGAAATGAACAGCAAATGAAACAGTGCAGAGGATTATTATGAGAGATGTGTACCTCAATGCATCCAGATTTACATTGGTTTTCAGTATTACTATCCAGTACTATTGACAGTCTCAACCTAGGTTTATTTCAGGTTTTTTTTTTATAGCTGATCCATAGTCTTAGAACCACAGAGACATACTGGACAGCACTCTTACTGGGTTCAGCCAAGTTGTGTTAAAAACAAGAACATGGATCACATTAGTGAACTTTAAACTGATGTTACATAACCAGTTTGACAATGGTTTTCAACTCATACCACTGTGCTTTTTTTATAGTGTTTTTTTCACTGTTCCTGAAATTGCTCCATCTGGTGACATTTACAATAATTTTAACTGGGTTATTGTGTAGTTCTGTTTAGACTATATTCACACTGGTCTTAAGATGAATTTTGACTGGATCACTTATTTACTCCAGGTTTTAGCCAGATCCTGGACTGATTAAATCAGACTATTTTTTTTCAGTGCCTGAAGGGTGCACTGCAAATGCAGAAATGAGCTAGAAACACACAAAAAATAAAAAATAAAAAAAATTCTGAACAGGCTTTAGACTCCTAGACATCATTAGACAAACATTCATAGAAGACAGTTGTCATATTAGGACTACAGCCCTCTGAAAGTGAAACTACAAAAAAAACAAAGTTGGATAAGAAGCACAAACGTCTGAGGCTCGTCATAATAAAAACCAAATTGTTGAATTTACTTAGTGCCTGTGCTTAAATTTCATTTTGTGCAAAGGATTGTGGGATTCTTTATAACTCCTTATTTCGGCAGTTAGGAACCCTGCATGCTCCCTATGCTAAATTAACTATAATATGAAGCATGTTGACTCCTTTCTGTAGCTCCTTCCTTACTGCCAGCTTATAGTGACCGCTGGCGAACTTGAGCTTTGAATGAAAGTGCTTTACAATTTTGATGTATTCGGACTGAGCTAATGTCTAGAACCCTTTGTAAAAACATAAATAGGATGAATACAGAAGAAAGAAAACATTTTATAAGCACTGAATCTCTTTGAGAATCCCCTTTATGTTTTTAATCAGGGTCTGGTTTCATATGAATTGCTGACCATCTCTCTTTGGTGGTTTGGAGCACTTCCATTATGCAGAACTATTTTACAGCTTTTTCTTAACCTGCAAGGTTTTTAGTGCTATTTGTAGCATTTTTCATTTGAATGTTTTTGATTGTTCTCTGTGTTTGTGCGCTAATAAAATTTATTTTTTGCAGTACTTTTTGTATTTATGTTTTTGCCGGGTGTTTTCACCTCACAACCACCTTTGTTAGTTTTGAATTGAGTGATCTCCATTAGGGCTGGTTTTATACTGATCATTGCAAAGGCTGTGGAATAGCTCAATTTAAACTGTTTTTATATTGATTTAATGATATTTCCATTATTCTGATTTCATATTGGTTTTATTTCTGTTTATTCTGATTTGTTAGAAACCCTTTTTTTTTTGCTTTATAAATAGACTGGACTTAGTTCTGAACTGGGTTGACTCTGAGTCAATTTATTATGGTTCTGAAAAGCATTTCCACAAATTTATTGGCTCAGAAATGCATTCACTGGGTCTGGACTCCTGTGAAACAGATATGCTCGCTATTGGATTAGAACTGGCCTCACTTTCAGGGTGGGTTTAATACCAGAACTCTGCTGGTTCTCAAACAAAGGTGCAGACATGAAAGTCAATATGGAGATGAACGGATTAAATTCAGAACATCAGAACTTTTCTGACTCAAAAATTACAGCAGATCCTGAAACCTTTTAGAACATTTTGTAGTATCCATAAAACTTGAGATTTGAACGTTTCAGAACTTGACTGACACAACTGATTGTCTCTGATGGTCCAGAGTTTGTTTCCACCAAAGAATCCTGACAGCATCGGTCCAGTTAATCATGAAATAATCACATTGTAGAGGAGAAGCTGGACCGCACCGAATCTGAGGAGGAAGTGTTCAGAGGTTCAGAACTGCAGCTAAGTCTGAGTCCAACTGATAAGCTGCCACTCCTGCAGAGAAGCTGCTGGTGGCTCCTGATAACTTCCAAGAGGTTCGACTGTTTTACCCGCCTGAAGCTCTGATGGCAAACAGAACAGAAGAGGTCTGGATGGACCCGGAAAAAACAGGGACCCGATTAGAGGTCAGTAGCCCTGGAACCAGCAGGCTGACCTTACACCAAACAGCTGATCCAGAGCCAGATGTTGTGTGCATGTGTATGTGAGTCATGATGTTTCTGAAGCCAGCTGATTGTGGACATGACTCCGCCCCCAACAGACTCAAACATCTCCTCCATCGCTGCTTTTGACCTCAAATCAGTGGATTTTAGTTAAAGAACAAAGTTTGAATCTTACCTCAGATCAGCTTCCAGTCCGTGACTCCAACAGTCTGAAGAGGAGCTGACTGATGTGACAAAGGTCATTGAGAGCCCCCGCCCCCACAGCCAAGCCCCGCCCCCAGCCCTCTGCCTCAACATGTGGACTCTGGATCATCCTCATGGAGATAGCTGGTGTTATAACTTTTGGATTCGTGCCTAACAGGAGAGGTTCTTAGCTGAAGAGGGGGATGCTGCAGCTCGGATGGTTTATTTGTTTGTTTGTTGTGTTCAGGATGTTTCATTTGTTATGCAAGACCAGAAACCAAACCTAACTCCTTCCTCAAACTGCATCCTGTTGTTGTATATTTTTTTGTTGCTTGTGTGCCTCACCTTGTTGTCCGGATCCAGACTGTGACAGAGAATCTTCCAGGGTGGAGTGTACCGAAACATACTGATGCTTCAAACTGGACCTCACTGGTTCCTCCTGGTTCTGGTCCAAGTCAGTGTAACGATGTCACTGGGACCCTCATCCAGCAGGAGGGTACCAGCATCAGCCCTGAGGCAGAATCGGGAGGATCATTGATCTTCCTTAGGTCAAACAGGAAACAACAACACAACAAACAGGAAGTTGTTAAAAGGGAAAAAAAAAACAATCTGTTCATCCACAATGAACAGATTAACCAATCCTCGATCTATAGACTTGGATTAGTCAGGAAAATTCTGACTGATCTGATATGTTTCTGGAAAGACCTGGAGAAGTTCACGGATCTTCTCACCAACCTCGTGGTGTCTCTTCAACAGGCTAAATGCTAAAATTTCCACTGAAGCAGCAACTTTTGCTGCAAGATTAACCCAGAACTTTAACATTTTGTTTGGATCTAAAAGCTATATTAGTTAAAAGAAACTGAACATAGGATCTACAGAGACGTTGGATAAATTCTTGGTTCAGATGGTGTAATTCAGTCTTTGGGGTTTTGTTTTGTCTCAGAGTTCAGATGTTCTCTGGATAGTTCTTGGTTCTAGGCTCTGATTGGTTCCCTCTCACCTGTCTCAGTCTGTCTCTTCTCACAGTGTCTCCATCTTAGGTTCAGTTCTTCTTATTTGATTTTATCTCATCATCCTAAGTTGCTACACACTGACTGTCAGAAGCAGAAGCAAGCAGTGGTCAAATGATTTTTGAGGTGATGATAGGGAGCACCATCTATAGGTGAGCCAGATAATTGCAGTCAGTTTGAAAGAGCTTGTCATGTCCAGTTATTGTTGTCATTCTATGTTTATATAAAATAACAGATAAAAATGTCTTTCTCAGGACTCTAAATTATCTGCTGTATCTATGTTTGCTTGTGACATAAAAAATAAAAAAAACATAAAAAAGTTGTTTACTGGATAAAACAGCAGCTGTCATCAGCTGAAGGGGAAAGGACTAAAGCTTACAGTCACAGGTATAAAGGTATGTGATGTCATTATGATGTCACACAAACAGTAACACACAGAGAGAAAAGCAGGACTCACCTGCCAGGGTCGCCTGAACTCCAGTGGTCCACTAACAGTCTGTGTGTTTGGCTTGACATGTGGAGAGGTGGGAGCGGTCAGACATTGTGTTTGTGTTTTTGTCGATCAGCACCATTCCTGACTAATCCCCCCCCCCCCAAAGTCTGCTGTGTGATGAAAACAATGTTCAGGGCCTGAATCAGCTTAGGAATGGACGACAGGGGGCTGCACCGAGCCCAGCCAGAACATCATCTCAAGCAGAGGTTGGACTAAATGGGAGGAAAATGTTTGATTATCAGAAACCGTTTAGGAGGAAATACTATTTTATTAAGAGGATGTTTACAGTTTTAAGTGGAAAAAAATCAATGAAGACCACACAGAGAAGGCAAAAAATGGTAATTTCACAAACAAGAAAAACATGAGTGGGGTGAGTAATGAACCCTGAGGAACATCAGATTTAAAGCTAATAAAAAAGGCTGGACGCCCTTCTGTAAGACTCCCCTTGGTGGCCAAAACCCAGACCAGTTCAAGCTCTGCGTCTCCATGGAAACAGGCATGTCAGGAAGTCAAGTCATATTAAGGATCATGTTTTCTCAGACTGATCATATAAGACCTGAATAGATCTAAACTTCCAGCACTGTGAAGGAAATGGAGGCACAGGCAAGACTGTAGATTTTGTTTATTTTGCGCCTTTCACAAAAAAGTCACATTCCAGACATTAAATAAAAACAGGCATTGAAGTCTAAATCGAAGGTCTTAAACAAGGGGGTCCGCGACCCCTAGGCCAAGGAGCCAAAGTGAATGGTTTATAGTTTGTTTATATTATTTTGGTGGCACAGGTGTTCAGATCTCCCCACACCTGGGGTGATTGCTTAGGGTGGAGGTCTTCAACAGGGGGTCTGCGACTCCTAGGGGGTCCACGGAGGTACTGTATGAGGGTCAAGAAAGTTTTGGTAGATTAGACTTTTTTTTATATATTCCCCCATGCAATTTTTTACCACTAATTGAAATTTCTTGAAATACACATTAACATGAATTCAACAGACTGTAGCAAACAGATAAATGGAGGCAGAAGATGTCTTTCAGTCATCAATGCACACATTCAGTGACACAAATGAGCTCTTTCAAGCTGGGCACCGTTTTATTCACAACACCTGTCCCATCAACCAGGAATCAGAATCAGAAATACTTCAATTATCTCAGGGAGAAATCACTTCCGTCACATAACTTCAGCTGTAATAGAATGACTATAGGACCGGTTTGATATAACACAATCCCATAAATATATATAATTAGGGGGTCTACATAATTAGACCCTTGGCCTAAATAAACCATGACTTAAAGCCTGGTGGAATACAGTCAAGACATCAAACAGGAGCCAAAATTGAAAGGTCTGATCCATCCTGGGTTTTAGCTTATCACAAGGAATATTTAGGAGCTTCTGGACTTGAGATAAAAGGCTACAAGGAGGCGAGTTTTTGGTTGAAACTGACACAAATGGCGAGGAGGCAGTCCATTAGGGCCCTGTAGAACCAGAACTTAAACGACCAAATAATATGAGTGCATTTTCTAGATTTAGTAAGAAGCCTGGCTGCTGCGTTTTGAACAGCTCTGAGGCACAACATGAGGAAGGGCCAGTACTCTGGGCTGGTCATCTCTGAGCTCCTGCTGTGATTCACAAAACATCCTGCAGATGGCGCTGAGTCTAATGAAGGGAAGAGGAGAGTGTAGCTTGTTTGATTCACTGAGGATGACCAGACAGGTGGTGACCATGGTGACAGCAGGTGATGCTGCAGGGTCCCAGGTGTCCATCATGGAGGTGATGTAAAACTGAAACCCTGTAGAAGAAGAACAGGAAGCTTCATGTCTGAATGAGATGGAAACCTGAGTGCAGCTCAGATGTTTCTCTTGTTTTTTTGTTGATGTTAATTTTGTACTTGCTGGTTTCAGACAGAACAACATAGAACCCGTCGACGACAGACTGTGATCTATTGAGGAGGATTCTAGAGCAGCAGTTCCCAAAGTGGGCTACGATGGCTTTCACAATCATTCCGATGTCATGTGATTTCACCACAAATAAATAAAAGCACCATGAAATAAATAAATGTAACATGAAATAAATACATGTTCATTTATCTAAAACATAATTTATATATATTAAATATACCATGAATTTATAAAAGGCAAAATGTAATAATTAAATGTCACATTAAGCAATTAAAAATACATTTAAAATCATTAAATATTGTTTTATTAATTTATTTATCTAACACATTATTCAAATTTTTTATAAAATGTGAAATTATGACATGCACATTTAATTGTCCCATTAAATCATTAAAATAAATTTCCAGTCATAAATTATTATATAAAATATTCATATTACATAAAGATGAATTCTGTTTTTTCTTAGAGGTCAACATTGGGACTATTTGGTGTTGCAGGCTGAAATCTTTGGGAACCCCTGATCTGGAGGACCATTTACAGCCCCCATTCAGACATTTCCAACAACACTATAAGACAGTCCTTCATCATAAAAGGCCTTCAAATTAGAAAAGACTGTTGCCAGGATAACATGTGCATTTACTTAGAGACATTTCCCAGCTGAGCGAAATCTGTCTTCTCTGTTCCTCCGAGTTTTAAGCAAGTTTCCAACAAAGTTAAAGTCAGAGCTTATCCCATCTTGTATTTTTTATTGCACTGGTTCCTTTCAGCCTGTTCTGCAAATGATTCAAATACTGTTTTTTTCTGGACAGGCACCAGCTTACCGGGGGACCCTTAAATGGAAATTGACTCTTAGAGTTAGTATTATGGTCCAAAATGTAATCATCTGACCCAAACTGTCCTCCATAGCTACTGTGATTGGAACTGGAAACAATGTGAACACCAGGTTCACTGTCCCCAGTGTTAAACAGGTTTAAAATAAACAGACTGAGACGACCAAGAACGAAGCTCCTGCTCCAACATCACCAACATAGGAGACACAGGAGCTGTCAGGTTACAAGGGCATGTATGGTGGCAGCATCATGCTGTGGGTCAAACCTTTTTTCTTATTTTTTAATGATCCAAAGTGAGAAACCAAACTGGTAGTGGGAAAAAGTAACATGAATCACCTTCCCAGAATCTGGTGGGAATTCATGGATTAAAAAAACCCTGCTAATTCACACAAGAGGCATGGTCAAACTGATGACAGAAGCTCATGGGTGGACAGGAAGCGTTTGGTTAAGGAGATTAATTTGAGCCGTAATGGAGCATTCTGCAAAAATACAGTCTTATAAGGGAGGTTCTTGAAAAAAAAACTGTGTTTGAGCTGTAAGTCTCATAAGCTGGTCTGCAGCACAGGGGAACCATAGGGAATGTTCTGGGACCGTTCCCGTTATCTCTCTACACTCCAGACTTCTCCATCATCTCCTCAGAATATGTCCTCCAGATAATTCGGGGCCGGGGACGAGGCAGATGTTCTGGCGGGCAACTTAGAGTTCAGGCAGTAGACAACTTTGTGAACTGGTACCAGCAGAGCCATCTGATGTTAAATGCATGGATGAAGCTGTAGCAGAGCTGGAGAGTTAAGTGACAGACTGCTGCACAGTAGATGAACAATAGAACTCCATTAAAGATCCTTCCAGCAGCGGCTAGACCCTGCTGTTTTCTGCATTGCTCTCCATATTGTACATGACCTTCATTTATCCAGGTGGATCTCCTTGATATTTTGAAATCTTGTTTTCAACAGAGAAGTGTTAATATTTTTGATTGGTATGTTTTTGCTGATATGTATATACCAGCAAACAGTAAAAGTTGTTTTATCTTCATATTTTATTCAACATAAAATATGGATTTGCTTTATCTTAGAAATGATTAGTTTTTACATAGTATATAATATGTATTATGTATAGTTTTGTCCCCGCTATACATTTTTTAATGTTAATTATTTTTGTAATTTCTCCTCTGTCTCATTATTTCCACTTTTTAAGTGTATCTGTTTTATTTAAGTTACCAACTGATCCAAGAAACTTTGCATGAAAGGAAAAATAACTGTTCTATTGTAAAATTTTCTATACTATTCTAATCTAATATCTTCTATTTTATTCTATTTTGATGGATTCTCATCTCAGTAACAACGGTTTCTATTTTCTATCATCAGCAGCTCTGAACTTGTCTCTCTGTAGTTCACAGGATCTTCTCCGTCGTCTCAGCTGCTGAAGCATGACAAAGATCTGAGGTTTACCTGGGGGCACAGCAGAACACTTTAATGCTTTTTCAATGACAAACCTGAGAGCTACACCTGAAGTACCACACTTAAAAGTTGGTGGCAGCACTGAGCAAGGTCCTCACATGATGGTGACTTGCAAAGTATAATTTTTTTGTTTTCATCCTCATGGCCTTACATTTGCCATGTAAACATGTAAAACATGTGAAATGAGCTCCCAACCATATTTACCAAAGATAGGAGGAGACAATTCATGAGGCGCAGTGCTTCAAAACAGACGCACAGGTTTTAGGCGTTGTGTCAGGCCAGTAAAGCCCTGCACAGTCTGTGCGATTTTTTTGTTGTTTTTTTTACATGATTTTCCAGTCATGCGACAAGTTTGGGGATCAGGCTGACTCTTGGCCAAATCGTGGGCCGCGCATGTTGCAATATACAAGGAGGTCAAATGGTTTCAAACTCACGTCAAGCTCCCGATTAAAATTTGTAGGTCATGAGAAAATCAAACGGGTTTTATATTTTGGTCATGGATTGTGAGTGAATGGCATATTGAAGTGAAACAACCAGACAGAACTCTTTCCTCTGAGATTTTACCATTACGCATTCGCAAAAAAAATGGAAGTTTCTTCATCTTCTATTACTAGCTACCTCTATTTATTGCTTTGCATGATGGGATTGTTCAAGACCCCAAGCTGTCTTTTAGGACGTACAGTGTTGGTTCCACAGCATGAGGACATACATCGCAAGCAGTGCACTTTTGAACTTTGCTATTGATTTGCACAATTTGAGTTGGGGCTGGCCGCGATGGACTGGCGACCTGTCCAGGGTGTACCCAGGGTGTACCCCGCCTCTCGTCCGTGGACAGCTGGAGATCCCGCATGGGATGAGCGTGATGGAAAATGGATGGATGGATGGATGGATGGTTGGATGGAGTTAGGGCTGTGACCAACGACTGAAAATATCGCATAGTGTATCCCGGGCTAAAGTTGATTAAATATACCTGTCAATTATATATAGATGTTGTTTTTGTAACAGGGCAGTGTTATTAGTTAGTAAGTCCTCCCGGCCGAGACGGGTAGTTTGTTTGTTTGTTCTCACTGGATGAGCTCCTTTGTAACAGTTTGCTGTTTAGGTTTTTCTTTACAGAAATCAGCAGGTGACCTTATGCTACTTTCATGGTAGGGGAACCTGTAAAATGGCAGGACCCTTTGGGCAGGGCTGGTCTAGTCAGAAACAAAAACCTTAAGTAACCAGCTCCTTGTCATTATTTAATTACTAGAATCAAAAGCATTTCAACACTAAAACATATGTCATTACGGACCACCTCTCACCAGTACTGTACCATGTTTATTCAATGCAAGCAGAGTTATATGTTAATTCACTCATATGTATGTGTATTTATGTTGATTTAGAGTTAGGACCTTTAGTGGTTTTGTTTTTGTTTATTTGTTATCACTTCCCAGTCTCTAACAGAATACATAAACAGTAAAACAAAGAGCAAAACGCACTGGCTGCCTGCAGGTGAGACACTGATTAGATGAATTGCCTCTTTTGGTGGAACAGAAACAGAAGCTTTTATAGCAAGGTGGGCTAATGTTAGCACCATTACATAATTAATGTTCATTATGAAGGATGATCAACACTGTGTGGAGAACGTGCCCAATTACGTTCCTGGTTCAAACATTTTTTAAGTTTTAATAGGCTCAATCCACATCTCCACTACTTGCTGAAGCAGGTGTGCCTGACCTCAGCAACTGTGACAAAAATGGCCACACACCTGGATTTATCAGTTCGTCCAGTAATCAAAGACAGGAAACAAAGGGGCTGCTTTAAGTTAAGGAAGTAGTGGAGTTGTGGCTAGACCCCACTGAAGCACAACACTATCTCACATGTTTTAACATGAAATGTCTGATAATAGGGTTATGGCCTCTTTAAAGAAGATGGTGAGTCAGGTTTAAACTTGTGTTCCAAAAAAGAAAATTAAAAACAATCCACTGGACTTTATTTCCAAGTTTAAAAACGTTTCGCTTCCCAAGAAGCTTTTTCAATTCAAAATGTCGGGAATATGGTTGAGTTTGAGGTTTTATACAGTAGCCCATTGAAACCTTCTTTTTGTTTTGAAAACATGCACATAGAAACGGACAAAGGGGTCCACCCCTTTGGAATGGGGGTCGTTTGGCTTCTTTTGTTAGCCTGCAATGCCCCATACCTGTCTAAGTGTCTAAAAGGGGGGTACTTAAAGAGACTTGTTGGCCTGGCTGAAACCAAACAACCTCTCCACAGACGCATGGCCCAACACAGAAGAGCAACATCCACGGGACAAGACTCTACGGTGCATCTACACTAGAGACTGACAGGGGAGTCGATTTTTACTCCTTTCCCATCCCACTCCCACAGAAAATAATAGTGTCCCGTCCCGATCCCGGGCCAGAGTAGAAATCTAAATCCTGTCCCGTCCCACTCCTGGTGAAATTACTCCCACTCCCATCCCGCTCCCATTCAGAATGACTCCCGCTCCTGCACCACTCTCATTCTTGTTGTCTTCAATAACGGTACATGATACATTACGGTACATGATTAAACATTAACGGAAGCAGACGGGAGCGGGAGCAAACCAATAGTAACTAAAAAAAACTAGGATCGATGCCAAAAACTAAAATAAAATATAAAGAAAAATAATCCAGTACTGGCGCCGCCATTTTGTAGTTTTGTTCGGGAATCTCGTGACCCGTGGGATTCCCGAAAAAATGTCAGTCTCTAATCTACACCTTATGGACCCCTTCCTCCGTTTCTATGTGCATGTTTTCCAAACAAAAACAAGGTTTAGATGGGCTACTGTATAAAAACCTCAAACTCAATGCTATTTTTGAATTGAAAAGCTTCTTCGATGGGAAGCGAAACGTCTTCAAACTTGGAAACAAAGTCCAGTGGATTGTTTTTAATTTTCATTTTTTCTTAAATGACTATGACCTGGATGAATGAGAATCTTCCCCAGCATGTTTCAACTTGTGCTGGATCCTCTCTGTTTCAAAAACTACTCCCTTTACATTTGTAATAATCTTTATTTTTGAATCAGTAATCAGTAATTTTCACATAAACAGTTTCCAGTATAGCCAGTAGGACTCGCCAAAGGGGCCAGTTAGTGAAATCAAATGTGTGTGAGGCCTGTAGTGACAGTGGATCTAAGCTAATTTTCACAAAAACTGGTTCCTTTGTAGTTGAGGCCCCTGATCGTTAGCAGACTGCAAACAGGACGCGGTTCTGAAGCAGGAGGATTAGTTTAAAGAGCACACCTCTACATTTCACCTGCAGCCTTAGGCCGATATACACAAACTCCCATAGGTTCATGTTAACTTGGTTTATTTCCTCTATGAGAAAATGGACATCAAGCATACAGTTAAGAGGGTAATGCTAACATATCAATGCTAATGCACTTAGGTGTTCTAAGCTTGAAACAGGAGGCGTGTTAGAGTGAGCGCAGAGTAGAAAATCATATAAAACTGGTGAGGGAAAGAGGAAGTGATGTCATGTAGTTAAAGGCAGGGAAATGGGTGGAATTGGTTAAAAGAGTCTTAGGGAAATTTGGATGGGTCACATGATGCTGCAGCATTTACATGGCTTCTTTTTCTTCCCCACTACCCCACTTCCCTCTAACGCCGCCTCCCCATTTGTCGCCACCATTGATTCTGAAGATTTGGTGGATATGGGTTGGGCATCAGGGAGTGGGGCAGCAGAGGTGTGAGGGTCAGCGCTGGTGGGGCGGGTGGCAGCGGGGGCTGCAGAAGCAGAAGCAGGTGGATCTACCTTTCCGTTAGTGTCATCGAGGAGCACCAGCTCTGCTTTAACCGTGCCCTGCAGCCCCAGCACTTTCCTGGTCTCGTCCTCATCCTCCACGTCCTGATATCCCATGAACACCATGGTGACTGGGTTCTCAGCACTGGCTTCAGCAACGCTCGATTCACCACCTTCTTTGGTCTCCAGCCCGGTGATCTCTGTGGCTGAGTGCGGGGCAGGGGTAGGACTGGTGCCTGGCACGCGGCTGGGTACTGGGCTCAACATTGGACTTGAACCTAGTTCTGGTGTGAGGCCTGCATCTCTTGGGACCTTTCCTGTTGGTAGGGAGGGTTTAATGGTGACAGGTGGTGACATCAAAGAGGCCTCGTCAGCTTTATGGATGAGCTCTTCAACGTCAGAGGAAGTGAGCAGCTGGCTGTCTTCTCCGTTGATCTCATGGACAACTGGGGGAGAGGGAGAGAGAGCTTAGAGCGGGTGGTATCCCCAGGAGAAAAAGGGCCAATAAAAACAAAGATCTGGATGATATGACAGCATGATTCACTGAGTGTTTCCCTGAGCTGCACTGACCCTCAACCCGCTGAGGTCCTCAAGAGGTCAGATGTGGATCAGATTTTTGTGTTTTCATGTACTTTAGTAGAAGGACTCAAAGTCCCAATGAACGTCTGATTCAATCCTCCTCATCGTTAGGCTTCTCTGGTCACTGATGATAATAAGGGGTCAGTGATGAAGAGGATTCATCAGGCTCCCCTCTGAGGCTGCCCGTCTCATCACATAAAGTAAGTCTGATTGTGTTTATCTCACACTGGCGTTCAACCGCTAACCTTTTTGCTCGTCTTCATACACTTTGACCCCTTGATCTGACAGGTCAACAGGAAGTTTGGTGTTAGTGGACAGAACCCTGGTTTCTCCGGTCAGTTTGTCCCGCTCTACTTTAATCTCCACTGAGTACATTGCTGAAGGACAGGAAGTTGATAGAGAACACACACAAGGTTAACATACAGGGTTAATCAGCAGCTACAACATGCAACAGGTATTAGTAGGAAAAGATAGGCGCCTGGTTGACGCATGCTAGTACGCTTCCCCCTACTAAACCTTAAGTTCTGGCCAACCACAGGGTGAACAGACAGTGAGTTTACAATATCAAATATCATGTAGAATTAGAAAACATAGGCGCTTCAAGTATTTTCAAAGCCTTTTCCTGTCGTCCAGTAGTGACAGTAATGTCTTCCTAAAAAGTAGTTCCCAGTCCGTCAATTGCAGTGATGTTTATAGGTCAATGTCAATAACTGTTTATATTTGCAAACCTTGGCCAGTAGGAGTAGACCGTGTTTTTTCAGCACTGAACTGTCCGCATAGTTACAAAACTCACAATAACCATGCCGGTAACATTTAAAACATTTATTAACATGTAATAAACATTTATTAAAATGTAATAATCTTCATGAAAATGTAATGAAGCTGTTGTTAACATATATTAAAACATTCGGCAACATGTAGCCAACACTTTAAAAGTACTGTGCTGTTAACATTTAAAACATTTATTAATTTAAAATGAACCTTTATAGAACTGTTATAAATGTTTATTAATATGTAAAAGAGTTGTTAGTAACATGTAATAGAACTGTTGGTAACATGCAAGAAATCAGTTGGTTACATGTATTAAATGTAGTTATGTTTCTGTTTCTTATTGCTGGTAACATATAAACCCCGTATTAACATGTAAAAATAAACCTGTAATGTTGACAGGAAATTAGCCTATTGTTAAGATGCAATAAACCTATTTACATACTGATGTTCTGTTATCTTTGACATGTAATAAATCTTTAATAAGTTGTAAGAAACCTGGTCACATGTAACTAACTGTTTAAATATAGGTAGTTAACATATAAAACCTTTAAAAATATGCAATTGACCTGTTAAAATGGATTTAACATGTTTGCATATAAATCACCTGTTAAAATATAAAACTGACATTATTATGTAATAAACTGTTATAAATAAACTGTTGACTGTTTCTTACTCACCTTTTTTAAACTCTCCCGGTGCATCCCTTGGTTGGCTGATTTGAAGATTTTTGTGACCTTTGATCTCTACGGGGTCTCATGGGAAAGAAGTAGCAAAGAAAGTGTGACGTCATCATTCTTTACTGTAACAGCTTTACAGTAATATGATTGTTGAAATCACTCTAACCTTGGATCATCTGAGCTGGTGGCTTAGAATCAACCAGCTGGATTTTGCTTTGAACTTTAACCTCAACAGCTGTTCAGAGACAGAAGTCAGATGTAAAAGTAACAGAACAACAAGAAGAGAGAAGAATCAGTTTACCTGGAACAGGGTCTGGCATCACCTGGAGGCAAAAGAACAGAAAGTAGACTTTCACAACCAAAGCCTCTATTAAAGAAACAGGAAACAGCTGAGGCCTCTTTTAAAATAAAATTATCCTTGTGAGATTCGATGAGCATGGTAACTTACAACAGGGTGTGTTATAGGCTGAGAGACAGATCCAGTTTCCAGACTTAAGACTTCCTGCTCCAACCTGCAGACCCAAAAGGCATAAAAAAAAAAAATCATGGATACTCTTGATCAAAAGTTTTAATTCCAGAATTGTGCTGCTTAAGCTAACTGCACATTTGAGTAGCTCCTTTTTTACAAGTGTTGCGCCGATGCCATTTTTTGGCCCCGATGCCGATACCCGATACCTGGCTGTGCAGTATCGGCCGATACCGATACCACCATTTCAGGGCAGTATCGGGGCCCCGTCCGATACTGGTATCGGTATCGGTGCAACACTATTTTTTACCAATGGTGTTAAATACTGTGGAATTGCTAGTAATCTGACCAATATTTTTATCTCTAAACATTTCTAAAGCAGAAATAATACTTCAACAATTTCCGCAAGTACCAGCTGAGTGGAAAAAAGGGTGCAGAGGATGCAGAGCAGGAAGTAGGAGAAGAAAGTGGAACAGGCAATTTAAGCTGACTCTTCCGTCAATCATTATGAGCATTGTGAGATCTTTAGGAAATAACTTAGAATAACTCTACGAGCTAGCAAGGAGAAAGCCAGAATATCACCAATTCCAGCATTATGTGTTTTTTCTGAAACATGGCTGACTGATCATATCCCTGACTCCAGCATCTCTCTGCCTTCTGACCATTTGAGCAGACGGAGATTTAAAGAAGCGCAGAAAACTCACGGGAACTCACAGTAACATGTCCATCTTGGACAAGTTACTGTGAAGATTTGTCACTGCAGCCCAGATATTGAACTGTTGGCAGTGAATTTTGGGCCATATTATTTGCCCAGAGAGTTTGGGTGGTTTCTTTGGTAATTTTTTACATTCCACATTCTGCTGATGCCAACACTGAATGAGACGTAATCATTTTTTCTGTTAGCTAAAATACAGATACAACAACCCAACGCATTTGTAGCAATAACTGGTGATTTTAATCATGCCTTACACTCTTCTACACCGCAAATATTTCAACAGTTTGTCAGCTGCAGTACCAGAAAAAAAACACACATTGAATCTGTTTTGCAAATGCAAATGTCTTACTGTCTCCGAAGTAAGACTCTTGTGAAATCTTCACAATCAGTTTTTTTCTCTGTTCAGAGTATAAGCCCCTTTATTAGAGACAATCTGCATTAAATAGAACTGTGAGAAGATGGTCACAGGAAGCTGAAGAAGCCCTGCAAGGTTTTTTGAGGACACAGACTAGAATGCACTGTATCAACCACACAGAGAGGACATCAATACAATGACTGAGTGTGTGAAATACTACATAAACTTCTCTGTAGACAACAGCATCCCCATTAGAACAATATAAAGCTTTCCAAATAATAAGTTATGACACAAGTGATCTAAAGGAATTGTTTGACAAGAAAAGAGCCTTCAGTAAGGGAGACAGTGAATTATTGGGGAGTAAACATAGAAGAACCTTAGCGTCAACAAAAGAGAAAGCAAGGAGACACAGGCGGAGGCTGGAAAGCAAGCTCTACCAGAACAATATCAGAGTATTGTAGGTGATGAAGACGATCACAGTCTTCAAGCAATAGGATGAAAGTCTAGAGAAAGCCCATGAACTAAAAATAAAAAAAACGGTTGAGTTCAGAAACAAGCTTAACTTTGACCCAAATCTTCTGACAAGTTCAAAAGACGGTGCTACACCTTCCTGTCTCCAGAAATCAAGTCAACAAGCAACTAGAGAAACTTAATTGTAAATAAGTCATCAGGTCCTGACAGTGTCAGCCCCAGAGTCCTGAATGCCTGTGGAGCAGCTATGTGGGACTTTACCACACCTCTTCAACCTTAGTCTGACCCAGAAGAAAGTTCCAATGATGTGAAAGACCTCCTGCCTTGTTCTAGTTGCAAAGAAATGTCAGCCAACATTCCTCAGTTACTATAAACGCATTGCCCTTACATCCTACATCATGATGGTCCTAGGGAGACTCTTGCTGCTCCATCTGAGCAAGAATCCAAGCAGCTAAGCTATCAGGACTCCTTGGAGTCTGTGGAGTCTGAGTCGAAAATGCAATCATACAACTGCTTAAACAACCTCCCTCTCATTTAGACTAGGCAGCCAGCACTGTGACGATCATGTTCTTTGATTTCTCCAGTGCATTCAGCTGGACTTACTTTGTCAGAAACCTCAAAAGCTACAAGGCAACAACACCTGACTGAAGGTTCAACCATCTAATCAAGCAGTTAACAGTACAGGCACACTACAGGGGACAGTACTCTCATTGATTTTCTATACTCTGTACATCTATGACTTCCACACTAAGTACTGGAGTACTCGGGTGACTCTGCAGTCATTGGGTGCATCAAAGATAGACAAGAAGCTGAGTACAGGGAGCTTGTGAAACTTTTTGATCATGAATGTGAAGAAAACGAGGGAGATAATTGTAGAATGGACTGGAGACTTGAGATGCAACTGTGAAGTTGTCTACAAGAAGGGACAGAGCAGACTGTAAATCTTTAGGAAGTTTACTTCCTTCAGTATTTTTACACCTTGACAAACTTTATTGTCATTTTGTATACACAGTGTATACAAAACAAAAATTTGTTTATACAGCTTTCCGACAGTGAATGAGCAGCAGCTTAGCAGTGAAAAAGAACAGGAAGGTGCTGGATATCTTACAGGGATTGATGATTTCTACCACCATCTGCTAGAGTAACAGCAGCAGAACAAATGAGCTAATAACAAAGCCAATAACAGAGGGTGGCTCTGTTCTAGGAACTCCACTAGTACCTCCGGAGATGGTTTCAGAAATTAGAATTTTTAATATGTTTTTGATTTAATTTGAATTGAATTAAACAGGGTGTTTCTGATATATGGAAGCAGATAACTGTTACACCAGCTCAGACCTTCTGATGGACTCTTCCAGGTTCCTGGTCTTAGCCTCGTCCTCCGCCAGTTGACTCCGTACCCGATCCTGATCTGGGCCAGAGGTTGGAGCTCCTTCCAGCAGCCAGCGCTCCCTCAGAGCCTTTGACTGAGGGAGAGACAACCGTAAAAAACATTTACCACTTGGCTGATTAGCTGCCTGTGTCTTTCTGGAAATAGGTATTGCAGTGCATTTCTTTCCCTTTGTCTCTAGGCAGCCAGTAACATTACCAACACTAGTTGACATGACAGAACATATACAACTATGGCTTTTTTGTGACATTTTAAAGTTTTCTGTGTTAAATGAGAACATAACAATCCATCCATCCATTTTCCGTCATGCATATCCCAAGACAGGTCACGAGGGGTGCTGGTGCCTATCTCCAGCTGTCTATGGGCGTGGACGAGAGGCGGGGTACACACTGGACAGGTTGCCAGTCCATCGCAGGGCAACATAGAGACAAAAAGTACAAACAACCATTCACACACACACTCACACCTAAGAAGAATTTAGAGAAGTCAGTTAACCTAACAGTTAACCCACAGTCTTTGGACTATGGGGGGAAGCCGGAGTACCCGGAGAGAACCCATGCATACTAAGGGAGAACATGCAAACTCCATGCAGAAAGACCCTGGACTGAGAATTGCAACCTTCTTGCTGCAAGGAAGCTGTGCTATCCGCTGCCCCACTGAGCGATTGTTAAACCTATGATTGTCTGTTTAACCATCCTCGAGGTTAAACCGAAGACCACATCCACTCTGCAAAACACCTCTTAAGCCGCACTCATTGAGACACACATTTTAGGCCACACCCACTCAAATTTTTGAAAACTGCCTCAAATTGCAGGGTTTTTTTTGCCTAAATAAAACAATGTCAACCCCACACCTTATTCAATCAAAGCAATATGATATCTGGGGACATTCGTTGATACAGGGTCTGTGCAAGCAACTGGAAATGTGGAACAAACCTTCAGGTGTTGCAGAGCTCTCCTTTCATCCTCCAGTTGACGACACTTGTTTTCCAGCTCAGTTTGCCACTTTCTCTTCTCCTGAGGCATGATGGGAAAGTGAGTCAGTTTGCATTGTATGCTTCTGAGTTAAGAAAATCTCTTGGCAGATATCTTAAGACAAATTCTTTACTACGAAGGCTTGGTTAGCTGGGTGATAGTTGCTTGACATTTTGACTCTTCCTCTTGCTTCCAATTTGCCTGGAAGCCATGGTTAACTGTCACCCAGCTTACCTTATCATTTGATAAAAAGAGCATCTAACTACTTGTAGTCCCCTCTGTCTGTTTAACTGTCCTTGGATGACCTTTTACCACCACCTGTTGGAGAAGCTGTAGCTGGATAATTGCTTCCAGCAGTACTTCTGTCTGTCTAAAAACCAGTATCAGGATTCTTTTTCCACAACACGGGGGACTGATTAACCTCCAGTTGATTTTTGAATAATAATAGTTTGCCTCAGGAGGAACTCTTTAACTCTACCTTATGAGAGTTTTTTACAAAACAAAAAACAGATTTGGTGTCACTAAGCATTCCCCCTACAGTGGACCTACCCACAGATCGATATCTTAAAGTCAAAGGTTCTGTATTTTTAATGCTTTTATTCTTATAAACAGATTACCTGGTTCCTTTAGAGGTTTGTTGATCATTTTAATGTTTATTTACCTTTTGTGGAATCTCCTCTCCTCTAAGTTTATTAAAGCTTTTTGATTTAGCTCTAATCCCTGCTCTCTGACTGTCAATTGTGTCTCTTTCTGAGTGTCTGAATAAAGCTGGCCTGGTTTGAATGCAGAGCAGGGAAGGTGTCCGTTTCCACTTAGCCCAACCAGATCAATACCTGGATCAATGTGACACTGCCCTTAGAACAGTTGCTGCAGTCAAGCTCCTTCATCGAGGGCAGAGAGACTGTCTGGGCTCTGGGTCCTACTTACAGATCGATTCAAACCTCTTAGAATAAAACTGCTGGGCCTTGGCTTCAGGCGTAAAGTACCAGGTAATAACAAGGATTTAGTCAGACCTTAGACTAGTTCAGAACTTTAGCAGAATGGGTCAGTCTGACCCAGAACCCTGACGGGATCTTTTCCTACTTTTAAAAGGATTTTACTTTCTCTAAAGTGATCAGTTTAGGTTGGATCTGTCCCTGGTTCATGTTGGACAGAAGTTTGTGGTTCTGATTTTCTTCCTGAATAATCTGGGACCACCTGCAGACATGTCTACAGAACCAGACCTTCCATTATCCGGTTCTGATTCACCAGCTCAGGATGTCACTGTGTCCTGAGTTTAAGACTGATGCCACCCTGGTTCTGTCTTGTCAGAGCAAATAGGTGAAAACTTCATGATACTATGTCGGTTCTGTTAAAAGCTGCAGTCAGACTAAAAAACTCACTGCGAGAAGCTGCAGACGGTCCTGATGAACCTCCATTTCTCTGAAATATAAAACAGAAAATAGTTAGAGTTGGTTCTGCTGAGCTAATAAAGTCTGAACTCAAATGTTCTGGACCACACACAGAGAGACTGGTTTTAAATCCATACAGCAAAGAGGAAAAAGGCAAAAAGTGCCACAGAATTTTAAACCAAATCAGTTTCTGTAAATTTGGATATACCTAAAAATAATAGATAACGTTGATGTTTGGGCAGTCATTGTTTTCTCTTAGAGCAGAACCATCCTAAATAGATGTTCAGCCCAGGAACCTTAAAGTCAAACAAATCCACTTTTCTCTTCAGAACGGCCCAGAGAACCATGTCCTAGTGCCCTCACCAATGAACATCTAATCATAAAAACTATGGGTGTGGGAAAGCTGAAGCTTCTGATGTTGAACATGCTGATATTTCCTGCAGCTGAACTCATAAGGGACTTTGACCCTGAGCGGCCCAGACCTGCCAGGACCCTCTCAGACCTCCCAGGACCCTCTCAGACCTGTCAGAACCCTCTCTGATCTGCTAGGACCCTCTCAGAACTGCTTCTTAGACCGGCCAGGAATCTCTCTGACTTGCCAGGACCCTCTCAGACCTGCCAGGAGCTTCTCACACATGTAGGACTCATATGACCCATTTAAAGCCTGGGTGGGCTGGGCTGGGTCACAGTTTCACTATCCCTTACATTTGAGAACCATCTCTGTGGTAACAGAATCATTAAAAGCAAGGCAGTCCGAGATGATGAAATGATTTGATTTGGACAGAAAAAACACAACCAGAATGAGAGCGTCATGATCTGCTGTGATAGCTGGCCTTAATTACTCATGCCTTTCACCTGCTTTATTCTTTTCAGCTCCTAATTATCACTCATCTCATCCACCTGCCAGTTGCCCTTATATTGGACTCAGTTCCAGCTATCATGGCCAGATCATTATTTGTTTTCTGTTAGTCTGTCTGTTCAGTTTATGCCACGGTTCATGTTCTGGATCCTGCTGGCCAGTGGAAAGAGGGTTTTTGTGTCTGTCTTGTCTCTAGCTCGTCCACTGTTCCTCCCCTGCTGAGTCCTCTGGGTTTTTGGCTCTTTACGCGGGGAGGATCAGTTTTAGTAAGCCTGGCTCCAAGAAGGAGACCAGTTTAAAGGTCCTGCTCAAATTCTGGTTCCACTTCCTGTCTCTGCTACCCTCTTCCACTGAGCCGGCCCGTCTGCACCTGATCCTGTCTGCTCCTGTGAGTGTCCGCCTGGTAACGCTTTTGGACTCTTTACCTGCCTGTGAGCTCTGGGATGCCTGGAAGCCTGGATCCTGTCTGTTCTGTTTGTTCTTGCCTGTTCTGAATCCCTGTCCAGGATTGGCTTCCTACAAGTTCTCTGGGACTGCTGCACCAGGGACACTCAGTGACAAATGCGGCGTCTGTCTTCAGTCCAGTGGCTGGATTGCTCCCCTTTCCAGGGAGATAGACTGGACTGTTGAACCAGAGTGTCAGATATGCAGATCCTAGCAGCCCCACTTTAGTTTTGTTTGTTTTTCATTTAATAAACGCTTTGAGATTTCCTAGGGGTAGCATTAGGATAATTATCATTGAAGATGGGTGAAGAAGAAGCAGGGTGCATACACAGAGCCTGTCTTTAACAGTAACAAACAGAAAGCTATGCAAAGCCGAAATTTGCAGGCGAGGTGTAACCACCCTCCCTCAAAAAACAAATAAACAAAAAAACTGATCCAGCAAATAAAATCCCCAATCAAATCGTTCTACTTTACAAAGATATGCTGCATTAAGAATCTGCTCATTTTTATTTTAATTTCCCTGAAATTTTTTTTATGTTTAATCATTATTTTCCATTCCATACCAAAAATGCGGTGTGTATCCTCTGAAACCCAAGATGATTAATAAAAAGCCCTCAGTCTTATGAAAGATTACATTCAAAAGAACATATTTGTCAAAAAAAGACATATTAAGCCCCAAAAGGAATTCAGTTTTCACACTTTATGTGAAAACAATCAGATTTATTTATCTTGTATTCCATATAAGAAATCCCTTCTTGACTGAACCTGACAATGAGTCAAATAAAAAAAGGAGACAAAACAAACTATCAGTCCCAGGGCTTAAGGTGCGTCCTTACCTGCACGGTTACACTGACCGTGTCTCAAACATGGCTACAATGACAGAGACGGCTTGTTTAAAAGCAGCTGTGGAGTTAAACAGAGATGGGGGCCTGGTGCGAACAGGAACAGGTGAGAAAATTCAGCGCCATACCTTCAGCTGAGGTTAGCATTAGACTCTCAATGCTGAGTCAGACTGTGCTAATCAATTATATTCACTCAGCAAGACATGACTTGGAGGATTACGCTGCAAAGCACCATTAGGGTCATGATGAGTCACAGACCTTCAGCCAAGCTACCAACGGATGATAACAGAGGAAGCATCTTCAAGCTAATCACTCCTCCAGAGACAGATTATTAATTCATACAGAGCAGTCATCTCCATCATCAAATAACAATTCTTGTGTAACACCAGTGTGAACACAGACAAGAAAAAAATCCCATGAAGGTATAGAGGATGAGCTTTTATTTTTGGGTGGATCATCTAAATAAGTGGTCCTCCTAGCTGTAAATCATTCTGGTGATATGTTTACATAAGGCCGTCCTACGTGCTCGTCCCTTTAGCAATCTTTTTGTGTGCATGCGCACTTTCAGGCATAGCTCTACGGTTTCAGACAGTCATTGAAGCTCACCTTTCTCACCCTGGTTCTTTGAAAATGGCTGAGGGTCATAAGAGAAAAAGTGTCTATAAAGTGTATGAGTAAAACAGAAAGGCCTCAGAAGAGGCAGATATATCCCGGACCGCTACCCGACAGCGGCAACTAATAACAAAGATGGAGCAGGCACCGCGCAGTGGACCAATGGAGAAGTGATCATCTGTCTGAACGATAAGTTAACTGAATTCACTGTAAAGTCTCCGCTCTATATAGTGATTGAGGGATTTAGGGATTAGGGCGGACGTTTCAGCACAGTAAAATTGTATGAGCTATGAGAAGAGCAACTTTTAAACGGTGTGCAGGGGGAGAAATGTGCTTGTGCACGCTCTTGCACATGTGGAGAGGGCAGGGTCTTTTAAAAAATTCACGAAAATCCTCCACAATACCTTTAACTGTAGCTGCAAATTGATTGCAAATGTAAATGTCTGCATTCAGCTATAAAGTTATTTTCGTTTGAGTTTTACTTTTCTCCGTATGAAGTTAAGCTTAGCTTAGGTCATACATAGTTTATAATTTAACATTAGTCTTCATTTAATGATGATTATGGGTTATGGCTACTGCTCTCAGAACATATTGATGACTACGTTAAACCAATTTATGTAATGATGACTTCACTAAACCAACTTTTAACCCATTTAGAGAACAGCAGTTAACCTTAAGATACTTTGCTAAAGTTACTATCCACAACCAGGTTTCAGAACGCTGAGTAACGGCTGTATATATTGAATCAAGAAGTTTTCTCAACCAAATTCTAGCGCACCATGTAAACACTAATATTTGGGAAATTTAAGTGTGTTGTAAAATGCAGCCTTGAAATAAAAAAAATATTTGTTACTGTGTTAGAAGAAAGATTAAGTCTTTTTTATTGTTTGACATTGAACAGAAAAGATGCAGAATAAATACAAAGAAAACAAATCTAGACTATCGCTGGAAAACAATGACAAGCCATTTCTAAGGTGTGCTAAATTAGCCCCACTTCTTCACCTAAAGTTACACCCTTCTTGTTATGGATTAGGCCTACTTAAAAAAAAAAAGCTACACTACTCATGCAAGCAGTTTTTTTTTCTAATTTACACAATAAGAGCAGCATAAAATAATTATGAATATGCATTATAGCATTATAATATGCTGAGACTGGTGATGCCACCTACTAGCAATCAGTAACATGCTTTTTTCAGGTCAGCGTCGTCACGAACCGCCTTGAATTTGTACCTGAGGAAGCGAGTCTAGAGAGGCTTATAGTCCATCCTCTCAGCATGTGTTCTTTTATCAGTGACTATTAGTTCTAATGAGCTTCTACTAAACCACTTTTCTTCTAAAGCACCTAAAACCAACATGTCAGCTATGAAAGTAAGAGATTGGAACCACAAAGAAATGTCTGATTCTGATCCAGAGCTGTGAGTGACATTTCTTAATGTTAGCAAATTTCTACAGGCTGGATAAGAAGAAGACTGTTGGGCTAGCCCAAAATTCACATCAGCTCCATCAGGGTGGAGCTAACTTCTGATTATCAGAGATCTGAAGATTATCATGTCTCGTTCGCAGGGGTAGAGCTAGGGGGTGACCAGGGGTGGCCATAGCCATTCTTAGCCAATCACTGACCACCCCTACCAGGTGATTTGTCCTTCCTATATGTACAGAATTACCACCTCCAGAGCTGGCAGTTCCACTCTAAACCAGATGGTGGCAGCAGTGATATTCATAGGTGGAACATGCTGATCAATTTGACATTAATTCATTTGACATGATAACTGTTAGACCATAAGCAGACAACAAAATAATTAAGTATTAATACCAGTACTCTAACACTGAAGATGACCACACAATTCTTTTTGTTCCAGACCAATGTTTGTATTATTTGGGTGAGAGAATGGTGAGTCATTAGTCTCTGTAAATTGGCTAAGAATCTTCTATGTAACTAGAGATAAACTGTTCAACCTATATATGAGTATGTTCTTCACCATAAATAATTAACACAATAGCTATAGGTGAATATATAAGAGTGCAGGATATTGGTGGCTGCTGGTCTCTGAAACAGTGGAGCCTCAATGGTTAATTAAATCCAAACATAATATGTTGCATTGACAAATGGTGAAACACATTACAACAACCGGTGAAAATAGCTGTTGTGAAGTGCTGTGAAATTGTACTAAGCTCCAGAAACCACACCAAGAGTTCAACACAAAGCGACTGTTGTGACTGAATAATCGCTTCTTCCTCCCGTCTGAGTCTCATGAGGAAAACCTCACCTCTGTCCGGCCACTGTTAGACTATTGTAGGGCTGAAACAATTTATCGGATTAATCATTATTTACCAAGTACTGAAATAATCGCCAACTATTTTAGTAATCAATTAACCGTTAACTGGAGTATAGACACTGTAACACATGCCTTTAGCTTACAGAGTGACCCACTTATATCAAAAATTTGTGAATTTTTTTTTAACATTTTGCATTTAAGATAAAAAAAAAAACATGTTTTCATCTGTCAATATTTCCTATCCTACTCCTCAAATGGAAAAGTTTTAGTTTCACCTGGTTTAACTTCATAAAAAATCTTCTTTAATGAACCTTTGGCTATGCGATTTATCGATTAATCGAAAAAACAATCGACAGATTAATCGATTTGCAAAATGAATTGTTAGTTGCAGCCCTAGTGTTTGGTCAATCAGCTTTGAGCACTCAGCTTTCTGACCCACCACCAGACCCTCCCTGCTCCATAGACTCTATAAGAGGTTTAACTTCATTAGAAGGGACAGGTTTTTGCATGTTATTAAATCAGAGCCTCACTTTCTCCCTGGCTGACTGACAGGCAGCGTCCTGCAGCTCCAGAGCAGAGGGAAGATCCGGTCAGAGAACAGGCTCGACAGCTGACTGAAGCGCAAATTGCACATGAAATCAAGCACATTTTAGCACATTTAAATCAATTTAATGACTCCAATTCATTAAGTTTAACGATGCACGTTGACCAATAATTTTATAAAATTTACAGGGGAGGTTGAGCCTCCCTTGTATTCAATGAGAAATCACCACTGATGTAGGTTTTGTATTTGCCAGGGTTTCATAGATTGAAAAATATGGATGTTGTGCTTGTTTATTTTCCTACTTTGACCCTGAACTGGTTTCAAAACCTTTCAGCCATCCCCTAAGAGCTCATTGATCCCTGCCTGGTCACTTTGGGGATTTTCAGGTTATGCATTGTTACCTCCTACCTTTTTGTAACTGAAGCAGCTCATGCTTTTACTCTGAAAAGCTTCCAGCAAGTCATGCTCCCTGCAGGAAGCCACCTTAATGGGTCACATTACCCACAAACCCAACTGCCCAATAACTAATATCAGTCACTGCTGCTCAGAAGAGCAAAACCACATTAAGTGAACATTTCCATTAACCTTGTGCCCAAAGAATCTAAAAATAAAATTCTAATATAATAAATGCATAGCTTTTGAAATATTGAAAAAGAAATATTACTGCTGATTGGAAAAGGTTTGGTCTCTAAGATCAATGTCACAATTAATGCCCCTGGAAAGAAAAAAATCAGAACAAGCATGGATTTAAATAAAGAAATCTGGAAGTAATTTATTCAATCAACAGATATAAAAAGGGTTTATTTGCACTTTTTTTTTATTCTACTTGCATTTTACTAGGAGGTGTAACTAATATGCAGATTCCATTTAGGTACACAGCATTAGAGAGAAATCCTTTTCTTTTTATGTTTATGAAAATATTAATTGTTAAAAAAGGTTTTATATTAAACCTAATGTTTCTTAATAAATTATCTGAAGTATGAAAACTTTAAAACACATTTAGGGAGAAAAGAAGCTGGGACCTTCCTAACCGCCCCCCCCCCACAGCGGACTGGGACCAGTTCTGCCGCAGAGGAGAAGTCTGGTGCGGCACAGTGACGTCACTGCACGCACACATTTACAGGCGCGCGCATTCTCAAAGAGATAACATTAATAAAAAAGGTTTAATAAAAAGGAAGGTGAGGATGAAGAGGACAGAGAAGAAGAAATAAAGCAAATACTCACCATAGATGCAGATCAGTCCGCTGCAGCTGGACCATGTGATGCTCCTCCGAGAGACAAAACAGACCCGCCCACCGGGAAACTGGGAGTGGGAGGAGAGTCTGCATCAGGGGAGGGTCTGACTGCTCCAAACCCACATGACCTACAGTTGAGAAATGATGCATCTTCTCTGCTTCTGATCCAAATCCTGATCCAACCTGCAGGAGCTACACTGGAAATATATAACCTTGCTCAAATAAAAAAAGATGTCTTCACAGGATCTGAATTTAATCACTTGTTATGACCTGATTATATTATGTTGATGTAAACAATAATACTGCACTTCACCCAGTTTTAAATCTTTGCCCTGTTCCAAATGATTTTCATTCAGTTGATGAACCAAACTAATATACCTACTTTAAACTAAATTAACATGAAATAATGTTTGTATTAAACACCAGTTAATTGATTTAAATATAACCAAATTATAATTGTCACATTTGATTTGACTTTACTTCAAAAATAATTTCCATTTCCCATCTTACAAACTCTATTAAAAAAACCTTGTCCAATTACTTTAAATGTATTTATTAATTGTTAATATAGCCTTAAATTGTGTAAATCTAATTGGTGTAAATTGACATTAACTAAACTCTGCAAGTGGTAGCAGTTAGCATCCGTCTCAAAGATGCTCACCACAACAGCCCAGTGGCGTAAATATCGGTAAGCAGAGAAAGCAGTTTCTTAGGGGCCCCTGACCTCTTAGGGCCCCCATCACTGACTCCTGGTTGGCCCCCTACGCAGTTGTAGACTAGGACTTCTCTTTGCAGATGTAATAGTGTGAAAAATTCCTCTTAAACCCATGTAGAAGCCATTTGTCTTTTCCAGGGGGCGTATTTCATTTTGAGTTCTGATTGTTTGATGGGGGATGGGGTTATTTAAGGTCAACCATGATTCTGTTCAGGTGTTGTTAATGACAGGAGGCAACAGTTTTATACTGTGTTTGGTTTAGATCGATGTTGAATTTATGTATTTTGTAAGGCAATTAGTAAAACTATGGACATTGTTGTGTTGATAAATGACTTTATCATAAGTCAAAGTAAAGATCGGCATGATAGTCTTAATTTAGCACACGTAAAACCAACGCCTTCAGGAATGACAACCAGTAGCCTAAAATATAGGATTTAAGCCGCTACAACCCACCTGATACTGAAGTGACTGACTGCACCGGACCTTATTTCTACCCCAAACACATGGCAGATTTGAAAATGATGGTGAGCCGTTTAAACACGACACCAATAGCAAAGATGACAGTGGTTCTTTTAAATACTATGTTAATAACTGTGTATAGTTCATGTTTCAAACCGCAATAAAGATCTTAAAAGAACAATGCATTTGAGTATTTTATTTTTTACACTAAGGTAAGCATCTCCCTGAAATGAGTTTTTGGAACTTGGGATGTCTGTAACATGTGGTGGAGCACTGTCACCAGTGGTCCCATTCAAGGTGCGCTGTCACTATTTTTCCGTGTGTGATCATATACTACTAATTGTAATTAAATAATTGTATCTCCTTGGCCGATTTATGAAACCGTAACCGTATCCTGAACCTTTATCACGTGTTGTACTTCATATGGGGCCTACCTAGATAATGCTGCTTACAGGCCTATTGTGTCGTTACGCCATTGTATCAGCCCTCTTGCTCTTTATAACATAATACTGGAGGCTCCCGCTGCCAGTGACGGCGGGTATCCAGCATTTAACTCGGTCTCCACACTGTACCTTCAAGCAAAGTTTGTTTAGCTCTGGATGTAGCCCGGTTGAACGAGTGAGGGCTTTTGGCTAGCTATTGTTAGCGATACATTGTCATAACGTTATCAGCAAATGCGTTATCCCTCTCAGATGTCAGCTAGCTAATATTAACCAGATAACTAACCAGCTAGAACTTTGATTATATGCAACTGCTTTGCTACTAGCGTTAATTTATGGGCGGAATCCCCCCACTATGTAGAGACGACCAAAATGGCGCTCTCTCACGGTCTGATACTTGGACTTGCCCTGACTGCAGCGTGCAAAGCGCAATTCACATGTGACTCAAACAAAAAAAAATAAAATACATGCAGGTCATGAATAAATATATACATATTGAGAGAAATCGTAAACTTTGTTTTGGGTCCTTTGTACATGTATTTAGTTCAGGTTAAATCAAACTTGACGTCTCAAAATCCAAAAAGAATGAGTTACACAATCAATTCAATAATTTTATCCAGTTTACAGTGACAGTCATTAGTTTAAATGAACATGTTACACTTTTTTAGTGTAGAACCTTTATTTAGTTTTCCCTCACAGATTGTTCATATCTGAGTTATTGGTGGAGGATGAGCACCTGTGAAGGATAAACTGCTGGTTGTACATCAAACAGGTTTTAGGCAAGGAGAACCAGCTGTTGGTTCTAACTCCCGCTGATCAGGACTCAGACCAGTTCTAGATCTTAACACAAAGTGTTCCTCTGCTAAATGATTTGATTTCGTAGTGATTTATCAGATAGTAAACTAATAAACCAGACCTGCTTCTTTATTTCACTTTTAGTTTTTCCCCTTTTCATTCTGAGCACCAACCTTCTCTGGAGACAAAGGTTAAATGTCCCGATGGTTTGCTTCACATCAGCTGTTATCAGCCTTTTATTCGGCCTCAACTGATTCATTTGGATCTCCAGAACCACCTGTTGCTGTTTTGACCAGTGAAAATAAACCAGGAAGAACAAACAAGAAGCTAAAGGATAATCTTCAGTTATTATCTTGATATTGAAGTATCACTTTATATTGCGATATTTTAACCAGCTATCAAAACAAAATGTTCAGATAAAAAAGCAAGTGCTGTATATGCTCATCAGAAGATATTGATTATTCAGTTATTTTGATAGCCATGTGCAGAGGTAGCCCATTTTCCCTCATCGCCTCATTGTTTAAGGTAGAATGTTTTTGTATTTTTTAAACTGATCAGGGTTCCTACAGCATAAGGCAAGTTAAGTTCAAGACTTTTAAAAATTTGTAATGCCACTTAAAATAAAAATTTTAGACCAACTTTACAATAAACACAAGAAAAATCTGGTAGCGAGAAATTTACCCAAAATGTTTATTTTAACATAATCCATTACTTTCTGGTCCAGTAGATGTTTCAAATTTTTAAAAACTTTCCATATAAGAAGAAAGCTAAAAAGACACAAATAACAGATTTGCATATCCAAATGTAATAGCAAATAACTTAGGAACTGTAAGCCAAAATTACATGTGTACTACATTATTTGAAAGCTAATAACTTCCAGTTTCTGAATATATAAATGAGCCCAAGCTGCATCAGTTCAAACATGACTCAAAAATGTATTTATTTTTTTATCCTCAAAAATAATAGGTCTTTTTTGAACAGTAGTAATAAAGACAATAAAGACGTTTGTTGTGGCTGCTTTGTCATGTTTACATTTTGAGATGCTGCTATATCTGTGTTAATTGTGCTTTGCTTCTCACTGTGTCCATATTGTGGAGAATCTAAGCTTTCCAATGATGTCCAGCATGTCTATATTGGTAAACAGTTATTAGATGTAAATGCTTTAAAACAGCATCTACTGAACTGAAATCACTAACATTTTTTTGTTCCCTACTTAATCCTCCTACTTTCATCGTCTTCATACCACCAAACATTATCCGGAGATTTGGTTCTACTGACCCTGTTGTTGATGTGAGAGATGCTGTGGAGGCTTGCAGAGACAAGGTAGGAACAGAACGGAGAAATGCTTTAAGTTTCATGCTTTGCACGCATGTCTCCACTGCCTTGATTCCCATCGTGCTTCATCTACATTCCCTGGTAATGGTTTTAGCCATGCAGGAAACTCATAGATGGATAGCCCCTTTTTTGCATTGAATTTAAACTTCTCCATTTTGTCCAGATAAAAAGTTAGTGGCACATAACCCCAAGGTCTGGCCACAAAATTGTTTTTATTGGTTCCGCTATCGGGATGGAACCAGTAATGGTTAAAGCAAGCGGTTCGGTAAATGTAAGAAAAATAATGTCAATTATTTTAATGTTTGATATGGATTACAAAAATAAAATCCTATTTCAAGACCTATGAAAGACAGATTTGAAACATTTTAATACCAATTAAGGCCTTGAATTTATGAGAAAATTCAATGCCTTTTAAGTCTGTTTAAGGACCTGCGGGAACGATCGATATATCGGGCTGATGAAACTTACGATATGTTGCCAAATAGATTTTTTTATCTCATCACTCCTAGTTTGCACCTTCAGACTTAATTCTCTTATCAGCTGCTGTTGATCCAGCTGTGGTGATCATCTTAGACAGGAACATCTGGAATAAACCTGCTGCTTTCAGTCCAGTTACCGTCACATCCATGACCTATAACTTATTAGGATACACAGATCTGGGATTCCTCAAGGTTTTGTGGTTGGAAACCTTAACATCTACAACTTGTTGTGAGTTGGCGATAGATAAACTAATATGAATTGGTATTGAAAGCAGAGCTGTAGTCCACCAACAGGGTCATGATGCAAGGTACTGGGGAGTCCAGGCACTGCAGGGTGTTGTTCATCAACCATAGACCTGTTGGCTGAACGGGGATCCAGAAACGCCTCTCTATAAGACATTCATAGGAACGCATTATGATAGAGGACAGAGTGACGGGTTTGGAGTCATTTGTTTTCAGGTATGAAGGTGGAGGCTTTAAAGCAGGCTGGCACATGCAGTGTCTCCAGTGAGGTGTTAAAAATCCTTCTTAAAACCAGGAACAGCCAACTGGCACAGTCCTTCATGGTGGATGCGGAGATACAGCAATGGAAGAGATTCTATCTCCTGTTCTATAAGAACCAGGAGGGTTTCAGAGATCCTGACAGGTATGGGCCATGTAGACCTCTCAGACTATTTTACATTATCAGTAAATAATTACTTCCTGCCTGGCAAATCAGGAGAAACTATTGTCAAATCCTTTAGCAGAAAAGTGACTCACCTGAACAGGTAAGGTCTCTAGGGGTCTTCATCTGATCCGGTTCTGCACCTCTAGACCGGGGAACTCCAGATTATGCAAATCACAATAAAAGCCAAGACACAGACTCTGTTCAACAGCTACTTTTATTCTGAAAGGTCACCCCTAGTGTTTTAGGACAGACACTGACTGGGGGGGAGGGCAGGTAAAAAGCAAATCGTCAGAACCTCATTAGCAGGTTCTGATAGGAGCATGACAGAAGTGTCTCGTCTGTTTTCTAACAGACCTTCAGGATGAGTGGAGGACGAAAACAGCCTGCAGCTTTAAGAACAGTCGCCGCCCTAAAGGACACTTTGTGATATTACATTAAATTAAATAAATAATCTGAAACGTGGGACACAGTCGGATTCAGTCAGATTAAAAAAAAACAACAAACAAATAAAATATAACAGCTACAGGAATACTGATCTACCAACTACCCTCCTACAGCTTTGAAGTACCCCAACAATGCCTGCAACTGCTATAGCAGATGCAGGCATTGTTGCAACTGCTACAGTACGAGGGAGTGTGGGGAGACAGAACGTTCTGAGGTCAGTTCAGGTGGAAGAGGCGCCACCTGCTGGATCAGGACCTTCAGGTGGAACAGGAACTAAAAATCATGAGACCTGAAAGATGAGCAGTTAATATGGACACCAGAACCTTGGAGGATCCAATTGGATATACAGATAAAACAACAGTGATCTACTGAGTCAGACAGAACCAGGATGTAAATAAGAAATGGCCTCTCGTGTGTTCACTAACAATTTTCAGAATTTCAAAATATGAATGGGAATCTGTCAGGAAATATCTGGTCTGGCTAAAACACAATCGCCCCCTGCTGACCCATTGATAGTACATGATTAGATCCTTTCAGCACTTTCTTCCTAACATCAGTCCAGTTTGTGAACAGTTAACACAGTTATTTTCATTGAAATCTGTATGTTTAGTTAAATTATCAGGGGTTTGAACTTTTTAATTTTTCTTCAGAGCCAGCTGATCCAAAATGGAATTAGAAATAAAATCAGCCAAAATATGGAGGAATCTAAAACCACAAACAATACCCTGTAGATTATCAAAATTGCAGCTAAAAATTCAGGATCGGTGTGAATATTTATCTCCAAAATTTGTCTGTAATTTAATTATCCTCGCTTTTTTGAATTTCTCGGTTATATGAACACAAACATTCTGCAAGTTCTTGTTTTTCGGGTTCAAATCATCAAATTTGTGAACCCCGAGTTTCACAAAGTACTTGAGCATATTTAATCGTGCTTGCTTAGTGTTATTTTCAGCACTATTATGGCTCTAAGCTCTGTCTCTTTTGGTGCCTCTCTGTCTGATCCTCTCCCCTGCTCTTAGCAAACTTCTTAGGGAAAATCTTGATCAGCATTCATCCCGCAGCTCTTCCTTCTAGGAATCCGGCCAAATGTATTTGTCCTCCAGAACTGGTAGCTCAGGGTCCAGACTAGGAAGCAGAGTTGTAGTTGAATACATCTATATGCAGCTTTCCTGTCGTTACCCACCCATTAACCCTCTCAGCGACTGTCTAGCTCATAGCCAGAAACTAACAGATTAGAAAATAATCTAAATGGAGTAAATTGCAAAAAAAAAAAAAAAAAAACTAAATAAGTATGACTTAAAAAGAGCAAACAATATAATGAAATTATAATTATTTTTTTTTAACATAAGACTGCTCTCAAAGATTTAGACAATAAATTGATTTGTGATAATCAGAATAATTTATTTTGTCTCACAGAAACCTGGCTGCAGCAAGAGGATTGCATTAGTATAATTGAGTGAACTTCTAGTAATTTAACTTTTTACTTTCCCAGAAGTACTGGGGAAGGGGTAGCAACCATCTTTCAGTCTGACTAACCGATTAATCCAAAGCCAATTGAACTTTCTTAATCCTAAACCCAGATTTGTTAGGCATGAAAATAAACCTCTATTTTTTGTTTAGCATCGTACACCAGATCCTTACTCTCAGTTTTCAGACTTCCAAACTGATTTAGTGTTAAATACTGACAGCCATAATAGTGGGGGACCTTAACATTCATACTGAAACTGATAGCTTGAATGCAGCCTTTAATGCCATCATGGACTCTAATGACTTTGCTCAAAACATCCGCAGCAAACACACTCCTGTCTTTATAGTCTGGACCTTGTTCTGACTGACATTTGGCATCAAGTGTGAACAAATGACAGAATTTCCTCATAACTCTGAATATTTCCGATAACCTTTGACTTTAATTTATCCAGATATCCTCGTCTGAGAGAACATTTCATTCAATTCCATTTAGATAACCCAGTTTAAGTTCTAATCCAGCTAATTTTTATTGAATTTAACAAACATTAACGAGGTGAGCTAGAGGTTCTGGTCTGACTCTTTAAAAAAAAGAAAACATAAGCTCAACCTGCTTTAACGAGGTGAGAAGAAAGTTCTGCTCAAACCTGTTTTATTTTTTGTACTGAAGGTGCTAATCCAGCAGCTGGGAAAGGACCATGATGTCACACAGGTAAGAAAAACATGGAGTATACATTTCTTTCTGAGCATGCTCGCTTACAGTATAGCAGGTACATTCTGCTGCGAGGTTGAAAGACAGGTGGGTGGAACCTGAGTTTAAAACTCCACCTTACAAGCGGGAAACGTCTCATCCTGCATGGCGACAGTACTGTTGCTACCCAACACGGTCAGATTGAGCTCTCGCTGACGTTCGTGCGTCTCCTGGTACCACTCGTGCATCACCATTGAATCAAAGGTTGGAATGAGGGTCACCTGGAAACAGACCAAACAGAGGGCAGGTTATATGAAGGGCATGGCTGTGAGATAGTCAAGGGTAGTGGCACCCACCGGAATGCTGGGCCAGCTGCTCTTCCCCTCCAGCAGACCATCCAAGATGCTCCTCATCATCTCCTCCTTCACCGGATCATCTCCACTAATGATATAATAAGAAGAACGCAGGCGTCTAAACAAATCCTGGTCGACGGTGGAGGACGCAGCGCCAGATGGAAGATAGGCTAGGTCCACATAAACCACCGGACTTTCAGAACCAGGAGTAGTAGCCGACCTGGAACCTGGACATGATAATAACTGGTTATATTAGGTTATTTCCAAGGAACCAGCTTAGTTAACAGGCAGTGTTAATTTCGTCAACCATGACGATGATGAAAATATTTCGTCAACGCCCCTTTTTCCCGTGTCAATGACGAGACAATAACGAACAAAAATTGTTTCCAGAGAAAAAAATTATGACGAAAATAAAAAATGATTTTCGTCAACGAGACTAAGGCCCCGTCCACACGAAGCCAAACCCTGCCCTAAACGCACAAATTTTTCACCAAACCAGCCTCTCATCCACATGAAGCCGGCGTTCCGGGGGTCTGTAAACGATCTTTTTTTTATTCAGCCTTCAGAGTGGGAAGATTTTGAAACACCGTTTTCGCGTTTCCATCTTTAAGCTCTAACTGCATTTTTTTTCTTACACGCATGCGTCATAGCGTCGCCTCTAAACACGCATGCGCGACACAGTATCACAACAACAATGGCACCGCACTGTGTTGAATGGTTGCTGCTCATGCAACTCACCCTGCTGTCGGGCTTACAACAGAATCTTCTTCTTCTGGAATATCTCCAGGAAGAACAGAGCAATATCGACGACATAGTTCAGCATCTGAATTTGACTGAACCACGAAAATAGACCCGCAGGGCAACCATGTATAAATATCAGTGCGCATGCCCAACATTTCGTTGTCTATTTTTGCTTTGGCACCACAGCGCCACTTACAGGCCTGGCATACATTTTGCAGCGTTTTCATGCATTCGTGTGGACGATCACATTTATTTTACGTCTCCGTCTTTACGACAAACGTTCTGGAAAATATAAGCGTTTCGTGTTCGTTTTGATTTTGTGTGGACGGGGCCTAAGACCAGAAAATTTCACGCTCCATGGATGAATGGACATTGGATGTATGGAGCCATTTCGTTTACAACGCGAAGGAAAACAATGCAGGAAGGACGCCACCAACAAGTCTGCGGCTTCAAGATGGCAGAACACAGCGAATCTTAAGCGACATCTGAGGAGCCAACAGCTGATATATGGATATGGTAATGAACGGGTGTGTGTGTGCACGCACGGGTGCATGCATGTGAATGTATATGTGTGTGCGCAGGCGCGCATGCATGTGGCTGTGTGAGAGTGTGTGCCTTCCTGTGCCTGTATCTGTCTGTCTCTCTGTCATAGAAGAATGATGTTCTACTGATACACTGGATATTAATTGCTTAAATTTCTTCCTCCCAACCAGATACCTGACACAGTGACACCACAGCCAAATCAGAGGTTGGGGAAGGAAGGGAAGTCTGTTGCAGAGATGCACCCTCACCCCTGACGCGAAAGAGCAGAAAGCTCTGGAGAACTCAATGGCAAAGTGGATTGGTTGTTCTGGCCTGCCTGCAAGGACCATTGAGGATGAAGACTTTGTGGATTTGATGAAACAAGCCAACAAAAGGCTCAATGTGTACAGTGTGATATATATGTTAAAAAGAGAATCAGCGTGTGAAGTTCTATTCTGCACTGTGTTATATAAATAAAATAGAAAAAAAGAGAAGCAGTGTGTGGTGAAGTTTTATTCTGAACAGTGTGATATATGTTAAAAAAGCAGTGTGTGGAGAAGTTCTATTATTTACAGACTAAAATGACTAAAATAACAAAAATGATAAAAATTTTGACTAAGAATAAAATTGATTTTTGTCATTGTGACTAAGACTAAGACTAAATTTAAAAAAGCCGATGAAATTGAAACTGTTAACAGGTATGTTTGAGGAATACAACCCTGATTGTTTTAAATGTTTCCCTGGTTTGGCACACCTGATTCAGATGATTGCAATAAAAAAAAAAAGCCTGTTTATCAGCCATCAAATAAAATCAGGTTGGCTCAACCAGGAGTGCTTTAAAGTAGATTATGTGTGCTTTGATTAAATCATCTCTGTACAGTACCTTGAGATGATGTGTTGAGAATTGGCCCCATCTAACTAAACTGAGGTGAAATGGTGAGGGCCTATATTAGCAAATAATCCTGAGACTAAATTAACCCCACCATGGCTCAACTTATCACCACCAGTGCTAATGAGCCAGATCTTACAACTTCATACTTTTCTCTTAGGATTCTTTGTGAATAAGGGCACAGGATCAGAAAATCTAACTGAAAACATTTAAAGTCATAGGGAAATCATATTTAAATGTCAAATCATTCTGGCTTAAACATGAATATAAATGTACTCTTTATCACAGGGTATTGTCCCAAAATTGAGAACATTTCTATTTAAAAAAAAATCCTGTCTTAAAGGAATAGTACACCCAAAACATGATTAGCCTTCATTTTCTACTCACCCCCATGCTGAACAACACTCTGGAGTACTTTTTTGATATCTCAAATGCATCTGGAGATCTGGGAGGCTTCTTGCTGTCTGCTGACATTCAAATAATGGAGGTCTATGGAGACCGAGTCAGAAAGGTCCATAAAAGTCCACAAAAAACGTGTCAATATTCCTCCATACTGCTCGTCCAATGTATTCCAAGTTTCCTGAGTGGGTAGCATCCAGAATTTACTCGAAACGAAGTCATTTAGAATGTTTTTAGAGCATAAACAGTAGTGTATAGGATTTCCTGAAAGCGCGCGCCAGCGCGTTCAGGACGCTACGGAAGCCGGCAGACCAAACCAGATGAAAGTGCGCATTCAGCGTCTGCTCTGCCAATAATGCAAGTGTAGAAGAAGAAATGTGCCGTTTACCTGTGCAAAGAAAGAAACAACGAAAGAAAAATGTCTGAGGACTTCAGTGTTGAGGAAGAGCATGAGTTCTTTGCCGAGCTGAATGTGCTGGTTTGGTCTGCCGGCTTCCGTAGCGTCGGGATCGTGCATGTGCGCGCTTTCAGGAAATCCTATACACTACTGTTTATGCTCTAAAAACATTCTAAATGACTTCGTTTCGAGTAAATTCTGGATGCTACCCACTCAGGACACTTAGAATACATTGGACGAGCAGTATGGAGGAATATTGACACGTTTTTTGTGGACTTTTATGGACCTTTCTGTCTCGGTCACCATAGACCTCCATTATTTGAATGTCAGCAGACAGCAAGAAGCCTCCCAGATCTCCAGATGCATTTGAGATATCAAAAAAGTAGTCCACAGTGTTGTTCAGCATGGGGGTGAGTAGAAAATGAAGGCTAATCATGTTTTGGGTGTACTATTCCTTTAAGATCTTGTTTTTTTATTTCGTTATCTTATGCAGGCCAGTTAATTATACGTCAGCTTGTACACCTAAATTAACCAATCGTATATCAATGGTCAAATTTTTTTTGGCCCATCTTGATTCATATGTCTCAGCTAATATACGCAACGCTTGAAATAGGAGATAAGAATCATTTATTCTTTATTAGTTTCCCACCGAGTTCCGTCCCAGTGTTCACGGGGATGGACGTCTGTGTCTTCAGCAGGCGTAGAGCTAACAGAACTGGCAGCATTGCGAGGCCAGGGTCCAAAGGTAATTTCCCATTGGGAACCTACTTGCACTAGGTTGCTATCTGGTTGGAAACGATAATGCGGAGAAACCGCCCATAATCAAACTTGCTTGCGAACCTTCCGCCACAACAATCCCGCCCTCTGGATAAACGACCAATCACATTCACTTTATTCACTTGGGCACCACTCGGGAGAATTCGAAAATGAAACGGTTGGAACGACCATTTCCCCACGACTTTAATTATCTGGACCTAACTGAAACTATGAACTAGCTTTCAATTGGCCTACCTGATGATTGTGGTCTTGCAGGTCCAACCTTGGATCCACCAAGCGAATTTCGTGCTGATGGTTTGGTCTCCAGACTGGTTTTCATGGACCCGCTGGAACTAGCTTTGGACCTGGTGCTCTGGACAGAGCTGCTCCCTGATGCAGTTCTCTGCAGCGGTTTCTTCTTGGCAGGGAGGGTCTTCGGGCCTTTGTCAGCCTCTGGGTCTGTCATGCAGGCCCCTCTCTGGAATGGCAGTGGGGGCAGGTCTTTAACCGGAGCTGGTGGCGGGTCATGCCTGCTGATGCAGTGCTGACTGGAATGATCGTGTGGCTGACCAGGGAGGAACGTGCTGGAGTCTTCATCAGAGTCCAGGTCTGCGGTGATAGAGGGGCAGTCCTCAGTGCTGGGAGGGATGTCAGAGTCTGTGGCAGTTGGCAGGGAGTCACTAACTGACGTTGGTGGCGTGACCTGACTATAGGTTGAGGTTTCACTGCTGTCTCGGTTTTGGGAAGGATCGTTTTCAGACAGATCTAGTGAGGCACCGGGGTTCATCTGATGTTGATGGTTCTCTGCGGTTCTCGGATGCTGGAACTCACAGGGGGACACCAGGCACAAGTCAACATCATGAGGAACATCCAAGGTAAGCTCTGACATCTCATGAATGTTCTCCCTGGATCCACATCCATTCTGGTTAGACCTGATGGAAGGAAGTGGGCCGCTGCTGCCGTCTGAGTCGACTATGTGCTCGTTTGTACAGATTTTGGCGGATGGAACTCTCTCTGAAGAGACTGAAAGTGAATAATCAACCTCAGTGGAGAAGGGGGAGCCGACCTCAGCTGGCATTGAGGTCATGGTAGGGGAGGAGTCTGGTATCATGTCCATGACAGGACTGAGAAGGCTGGAATATTTATCCTGAGATGATGTGGAGTTTTCCAGTCCTTCACGCATGGAGCTGTTATCTGAAGTTCTGCATGAGCCCCCCTGGTGGTAGTCCTCAAAGCCCAGACTGGAGCCTCTCGCCTCAAGGCTGCTGTCCTCTCCAAAGCCTCTGGTGTTGTCTTCAGGAGACTGATGGAAGGGGGTGTGTCCAGCGCTGTTTGGAGCAGAGTCCGCAGGAGAAACCAGCTCCAGAGTTTTCTCCTCAGCCTGGATTCTAGGGGAACCCTCAGGCACCAGGAATGTTGCTGGGGTGAGGTCAAAGTTAACACTGAGCTCACCTTTGGGTGTTTTGGCAAGAGGTGAAGAAGTTTTGACTAAATGTTGGTCCGCCTCCACAGAGCGGAACTTCTCTGGACTCTCTGCTGTGGAGGTTTGGTCCCCACTGGTTGATGTTCCCTCAGACGTCCCTGTAGTCTCCTTATCCGGACCCCTGTTTCCGTTGGCATCTTCCAGACAAAGCCTGCTGAGCTCCCCGGTCACATCCTCAGGCGTTGAAGTCTTTGAGCTTTTGGCCTCCTTCTGGATTTCCTTGGATCCCACCTTTCCTTTTGTTTCCTTGTTTAGCGGGTCTTTCTTGGGAAGCATTCCGTCCTTCTTTATATTTCCAGTTTTCCCTGAACCTTTCTTTTGGTCTGTAGCTCCAGTTGAAGGGATTCCAGGAGTTTTCTTCACTTCTTTAACCGGCAATTTTACTGGTTTCTTCTCCTCGGGTTTACCGTCCTTCTTACTGTCTTTTTTTGGTTCATTTTTAGCTTCTTTCTTAGCCTTCAGACTTGTGTCCTTCTTCGCAACTTCCTTCTTCCTCTCTGTGAGATCTTCCTTCTTCACAGAATGAGCAGTCAACTTCTCGTCCTTCTTCTTCCCTTCCTTCTTGTCCTCCTTTGGCGCGTCTTTCTTTGGATTAGGTTTCTCAGAAGTCTTTGCCTGCTTTGGTTTCATGTCGGCCTCCTTCACTTTGCCCTTTTCTTCTACATTTTTAGGGGCGGATTCGCCTGCTGCTTTACTCTTCATCTTCAATTCTGGTTTTCGTACTTCGACCCGTGCAGGTTTGTCTTTCTGTAAGGCACTGTTTGGTTTATGGTCTTTGGACGGGAACTTGAGACTTTCTCGACTCTCTTCACGCTTTAGAGGTTTCTGGGTTTTGGGTGCTTCCAACTCCTCCAGACTCACAGACGGCTGTTTGAGGAAATCCACATGTGAGAGTTTTTCAAGACCGTCCAGGATTTTGGTCTGAGGAGTGCATCCGGGGAAGAGAACTCTGATAATCCTCTCCTGGGGGCTGGATGGATGCCAAACCAACAAGGCACAGATGGAAACTAGGCACGTTAGCGGAAGACTTGGGCTCTTTGTGCTGGTGCTGCCATTTGGCCAAAGCTGCAGCAAAGCTTCCAGGTCCTTACAGCCTCTGACTGGATTTAGGATGTACAGCTCCAGACGGCCCACCCCCATCTTTTGAAACAAGATCAGTGGTTCTATGGTGGGTCCATTGAGCCTGCTTAAAGGTTCAGGTCTTATTGACAGCTTCTGCAAGTTTAGCAAAGTGACCGATGCCTGGTCACAGCCCTGCAGTAGGCTGGGATCCGGCTTGATGGTCTTTAGTCTGTCAGGAGCGTTGAAGAAAACCACGCCGATCTCTGGAGAAATGAGGTTCTTCATCCTGTCCTCTCCGGGGTCAGCTCCGGCAGCCTCTTGGTTCTGCTCGGCCACCTTCCTCAGCAGCAGGCTGTTTAGGCCTGGCAGGTTATCAACGCCAATGTGGGTCAGGAGCACTGAGTCAATCCTGTCCAGGTGTCGGACCAGCTTCCAGTAGCAGGACCGGGGATCCGAGCCACCGTTTACCAGGACATTGAAACCGTTGACGGCGAAGAAGGCGGAGTCTCCTCGCCCGCCTGGGAAGACGTAGCAGCAGGGTCTGGACAGCTTCAGGAAGCCCACAGTGCTGGGCGGCTCCAGCAGGTTGAAGGGCGAGTCGGGCTCCAGTGACTCAGAGAGGTACTCTGTGAACTCCTGCAGACCCTCCATCTCTGGCAGAACGGGGCCCGGGTTGATCCGGATGCTTATGAAGTCCTGCAGGTTCTGTTTCTGCAGCTCTGATTCCTTCCACAGCCCAAGAACGGGACAGCTGAGGGTGAGACTGGCCTTCTGAACTGGGTCAGCAGAACTTAGCAGCTCCCCAACCTGCGGCACCAGAAAAGTTACAGGATCTGAACAGACAGGAACCAGGTGTAATAAAAGCTGATCTGGATTGGACCTTTAGCTAGTCGGACCATCAGAACCTAAAGCATTATCTCACCTCCTCATCAGCAAATATCTGCACAAAGTCCCTGAAGGAGAAGCAGCCCTGCTGCAGGACGAGGTCTCCGCTGTTCTCCACACACTGACCGGCCAGAACCAGCAGCTTGTGCCGAGACGGGCTGCAGACCAGCCGCTGGACCTGATCCGAGACGGTGAAAAATAAAAAAGATAGAATAGTGACGTCCTTTACTGTCCAACAATGAAAGAAGAGTGGAGAGAAGAAAACTATCATCAAATTAACTCTAAAATCTACAAACTAAACTTTTATGCTTGGGAGGAGCTGGTCTGGTTGCTAAGGGAACCAATAAACACATGGGCTGTGACAGATCAGTCTGAATCTGTTTTTTTCTGCAGATTATAACACAGAGGAACCAAGAAACCTTCACACACACACACACACACGTGTTGTGTAACACTATACTTGTGTGGACTTTCCATTGACTTCCATTCATTTCCCACTCATTTCTATGACCTAACCCAGACCCTTACCGAAACTCAATTCACACCTTAGTCCTTAACCTAACCCCCACACCAAGAAGATAACCTTTCCCTTATGAGGACCAGTTGTTCGTCCCCACAAATACCTAAAAGTCCCCAAAATGTAGCATATTCCTGGAAAATGGTTCACACAAGATAACAAAAACATGGCCACACACACACACACACACACACACACACACACACACACACACACAGGAAGGAGGAAGTCTCAGGTTCTCACCTCTGAGCAGACAAAGCTGTGGGCCGGGTTCACCACAACCCGAGTATCCAGAACCTCTCCACTGTGCTGCAGAGTCCGCTGACCTGCAGAACCAAACAGAACTTTTATACAGAGCCCAGGGAAGCCAGTCTCAAACTCATTTCATGAGTCAGCGCCAGAACTGAGCTCAAAGATGGTGGCGGGTACCAGCTTCAGACCAACAGCACTCGCTGGAACCGCAACCCCAGAGGCTAATTTTGATCAGAACCAGTCTATTTATCAAACCGGACTATCTGCCCTTCTGCCTTAGTCTCCGCCCATCTCTGCCCAACATCATGATGCATTCACTGACCCCGTGGAGGTTAAATTTCTACAGTTTTGAGCAAGATGATAGAAAGAATGTGGAAATGGTTCTGCTCCTTTTCTGTCAGCTGATAGCCGTGACAGAACAGTTTAGCTGCCCTTATGCTCGTCTGAGTTTGGACCTGTGGTCTGAGCACATCAGATTCAACACTGAACTCATTTATCAGATTTCAGATCATAAAAGACCCGTAATAAACTCAAGCCACTTAGACGAACCGGGTCATGCAGTAGAACTGGGTCCTAGTTAGAAAGAAGCGCAGTCAGGTACAGTTTTAACATTTCTACCGGTGAAAAAAAGGGAAAACAAGACTGACCCGGAACCAGGACTGTGGTGGGAACCCGCCTGATGTTTCTGCAGGCGCTTCAGCAGCGTCTCAGCTGACCGTGTTTATGACTAACTGAGGACAACCAGAATTGTGTGTGACTAGAACCACCCAGATCAACACGTCTCTGAGGAGGAATTAGCCCACCACAGACAACTCAGATATTCTGCAGGTTCTGCAGGCACACGGGGACTGGATCTAGAGTAAGGTCCATCTGATGGACCAGTTGACCCCAGGCTTTCTAAGGTCACCTTCAGGAAAGTTCTCACAACATCCGAGTCTCATAATAGCAGACCCACACACAGCTGGTTCTGATCAGCGACGATAAGGTCACCTTACATCACCACTTCAGCTGGTTCAGCTATTAAAAATAGAACGGACCGGGGGCCTTTAACACCGTCCATCCAGATCCTGACAGCCCCAACAGAGCAGATTCTGAGGTTACTTTTCATTTGTGAATCTCATAAACAGGCTTCAGGATACATATGACTTTTACAAAGTGTTTAAGGATTTAGAGGACCTTTAAAGATTTATAACCACGGGTGAAAGTAAGCCAGAACAGTAAGATTTAGGGGCGGTACGCAGCTCTGTCTGCTTTTTTGTGCCACTAACCTCAGCTTAGTTACCGATCTGAGAGCTTGTTGAGACAGATGTGCAATGTTTAAATCTCACACACGCTCATTCAATACTCGTCTGATGCGCACACAAGTCTCAGCTGTTCTCAGGCAGAAATCCATCTTTGCTCACGCTTAGTTCCCTGTCTGCGAACCATCGGCGCTCAACTCCGATGGTCACTCAATATGTGATTGATCAACACCTTCTGCCAAGTGTGAAAAATGCTTGTCTAGCTTTAAGTTAACTTCTTTCAGCTCACACCGTCTCCTGCACTGGTGGAGGCGATGCAAAACTTTCTTTATCTTAATCCCTAAATTGTATCCAGAATAAATATTTTCTGGTCACTGTTTATTTGGATGAAGACCCAGATGAAAAGGCAGAGATCTTCTTTGAATATTTCTGTCTATATCTCCATCTACTTCCTGCTAATATCTATTCAAATAAGATGTAAATGTTTCCTTGTATTGTCATGAAAACTTTCTCTCCATTTCCTTTGAATATTTCAATTTTAAAGTTTACATATTTTCTATATTAAAGTCTGGCATGTCATGACATTATGAGACACTTGTAACAAGCCTGATATTTTTGTTACATATCAGGCTCCTATGAAGGGATAAAAAAAAAAAAAACATAGTAGCCGTCTGTCGGGAAGATCTTTGTCAGTGAGTAGAGATGGTGCCTGCTAGACGGCGGGCTCAGATAGGAGGGGGAAGAGTTGTTTCCCCCACATGACATCTTTAAGGGAATGCTTTTCAAACAGACATTTTGGGAAGACATCAGTTAATAGGTGGAGAAAGGCAGAGAAGGGTGAAGGGTTTGCTTTCATTTGGGGAGCTCATACACAGAATGTCAATTATGGATAATATTGGGTCTTTAATTGCTCAGTTATTCTTCATGAAGGCATGTTTAACTCAGGAATGAGCCCTGTGGACAAAACCTGTTAGTCTCATCGTGGTTTTGTCCATTCCTAATATTCTATTTTAATCTTTATTTACATCACATTTTCATAGAAGTGATATGGATGGCTCAAATAATAAGATTTCTAGATGTTTCTATTGATATATCCTCTCCAGTAGGAGCTGTCGCTCCGTTTCGCTTCTCACCTCGAACATCTTCAGATAGAAAAGCCGAATGTCTCGACACAAAGAGCTTCAGCTGCTGATCCAGAACCGGAACCTCCAGATCCACCTGCCAACAGCGCACACCTGAAAAAGAAACATCCTCTGATCATCATCATTATAAACACACTATTCCTCCCCTCTGGCACCTCATGCATAAATAAAGCGATTCTTTCACACTTAAAGGTGTGGATATGTAGAAAACTCCAAATTTGCTGCAGCCGGAAACCAACAACAAAAAAAAACTGATGTGTAAAACTGAATTAACATGTCTAAGCAACCGTGGTAATGGCTGTGATCCTTGTTAAATCCAGATGTTGGATTTAACAACTGGTGAAAACAATTATAGAAACCTGCTTCTTTTATGGTATCTGCTCAGCCACTGTGTAGCTGGATTCTATAGATGAAGTTTAAACATCCCATAGAGCTGGCATGGGGATGGCTGTGAATGACCTGAGCTGTCAGCTGGCTTCCTCTAATATGATTTGCTTCCAAGGAAGCCCTAAAGAGTGAGAACTAAAACCGGTACCAGCAGAACATGGTTCCTCCTGGATTCTCTCTGGTCAGTCTGAATTTGCTGATAATCTCCTCATCATCACTGAGATTTTTCCTGGATTTTCTTTTCAATGCATCTTGAGCTGTAAGTAAAACATGGTGTCGCAGGGTTCATTTTTTTAGGCTCACTTGTGAGGCACGACATCCTCTCAGCTGTGGTTTTGGTCAGAAGGACAGGAGAGCTTCTGGACCCAGAGACAGATCTAAGATCAGCAGCACAATCAGCCTCCCACTCTGTGGTTCAGCTGTCGCTCCTTCCCTAAAGTGATCAGCGAAACCAGAAACTCGGACGGTGACATCATCTCAGCACGAGGAAGATTTCCTCATCTGACAAGAAGTGACCTTTGACACTAGAGATAACAGAACAATCCCGAACAGGTGTGGAGCGACAGAAACATGCCTTGGGAAGGTAGGCAAAGCCAAACAGCTTGAAATCATCAACAGAACTCGTCCCTTAAAGCCTGACCAGAACCGTTTGCACGGAGTGAGCCATCGCTGCTTCTTCCAATCTCTGACCAATAAGTCGTTTCCTGCACAAACAGGAAGGTGGTGTGTAGAAACAGGACTTCCTCTTTCTGTTCAGGGGCAACAGAACTTAGGTTCTGCAGAGAAGCTTGGAATCACAGTGATCATGAAGGGTTCAGTAGTAAAATGATCTAAAGGTAACCTGTACAGAACCACAACCCAAAATATCCTGGATACCTGCTTGTTTTAGACTCTACAGGTCCAGTCAGAACAACCTGATGGACAGCTGAGAGTCCAGCTGCTCTGATGTGGTTCAGCTTGATCCGGATTAGATCCATTTTACCAAAACACTTTTTTGTTAATTGTCTTCAAAACTGTGGGTCATTTGTCTCTAATTATTTCTGCTCAACTTGAATTAGTTTAGTCCACGTGATACATGCACTTTTTTATCATGTCAGCAGTTAGTTTATGTGTGTAGCACCGAAGCTAATTCCTCTACTTGTAAAGCACTGCTGGAAATGAAGCAGTCTTTATCTGTTTATCACCCTGAGAGGCTAACATATAGTACAGGAAGCCAGCATGCTAACATGGATAGCATTCAGTCTGAGCCCCAAAAGTCCTCCTTCGGTGCTTTAAAATATGTCAAGTATTTAATTCACTTTGCTTCTAACCTAACTTAGATTTGTTTAATAAAACCAAGCCGAATTCATCCGGGTATCCGCGCAGGACCACCAGAAGTCGCATGCTTTTATTTTGAAAGGGCGATAGACTTCCCGCCCTACGGTTCGGTTCTTCAGTCCAGCGGGACCGGCTCACCTGATTCTATTTGCCGCAGTACCAGCTCCAGCAGCCCGCTGGGCTGCAGCGCCCCAACGACCACAAGCACCGAGTGATCCGCAGCCGCTGCGGGCCGAGACGAACCGGGACCGCCGCCCAACTGCGCCGCCATCGCACAGACTTCTGGATGGCTACGTCATTCCGCACGCGCACGCTCAGCTCCGCCAAAGAAGCTAACGGTAGGGGCGGGAAGAGCAGGGTTCTTGGTAGCCAATCAGAGAAAGGGAAACTGAAGCGCTGTCCAATCAAAGGACAGATGGGTTGAAGGAGACGCAGATCATCAAAATCAGAAAAAAAAAGTTAATGAAAATGTATAAACTATATAACCTGCTTCTTTTTGGGAAGGACTCCCTAAATATTTTATGTGGTTCGAGCTTTTTTCTAAAAAAAAAAAAAAAAATTGGAAAGTGTTGCTCCTTAAATACTGATTTCATTGAACCACCTATTTCTCTTTGCTATGAATACATGTTGTTTGGCTTCATCAAGTTTTATTCTGCAAAGGTAAATGATGTTATGTGATTAATGTCATGTATTTATTCAAATAACATATCGATACAATACCAAGTAAATACAGGGTTGATATCGATACGATACTTTTTACATTTAAACTTGATGGATCATGGAGCTGCTGACCTTTCAGTGTTTTTGTGTTTTTTATTTCATTGTTACAATTGAATAATAAAATATTAATAATTTAATAATATATTTTTTATTTTCCTAATCCACCTCTTATATTTTTCAATCTCTGTGTAATCTTGTTTGTATTTTGTCCACTTGCTTGTTGCTTTAATTCTATATGTGTCCCCATTGTGGGAAAAATAAAGGATTAGTTAATGTTAGCCCACTTAGATAACATGTTTAAAGACTGGTGAATCTGCTGCAGTTAGTGCGTGTGGGAGAGAATAAAAAGTATTGATCTTGTTAAACAAATATTGTTCAATATCAATACCAGCGTTAGTATCAATCCAAGGATTGATTCGCCCACCTCTAATATTAACAAATACTGTTACAATAAACAAAAACGTTTCCTCCAATTCTGAAAATAAAGCCAATCAATATATTAAGACTATTAAAGGGTTCACTTTTGCATAAGCTATTAAAACTCTTGATTTACGTGATCTCTTCAATGTCTTTGTGTAATTTAGGATTCTGGAATCCTGTCTTTGAATACATGGAGCCTCCTGGCGTGTCTTGTTTTGTATTTTATCACTTTGTACTGCTTTATTTAAAAAAAATAAAGTTTGAAAAACCGACAAATGTTTAGACCCAGTTATCAAACACTTTATGTAAAAATAGTTTTTCACTAATGACTTTATGCAGAAAGACAGACAAATATCTTTCAATCTTTTTGCAGCAGGATTGAATGACATAGATATACCTGTTACTGTATGTAATTCAGTGTAAAATATGTATGACCATTTTTTTCTCACTGGAAAGCATTTCCGCTTTAATTTCAATTCAACTCAGTTTATTTATATAGCGCCAGTTCACAACACATGTCAACTTAAGGCACTTTACACTTCACCAGGTAAGACAGTCAAATTGATTCAAAGTTTTCTATCTAAGGAAAACCAGTTGAATGTATCAACTCATTGACTCAAAGGCAATCCCTCATGCTAAGCATGCTTGTAGCGACAGTGGAGAGGAAAAACTCCCTTTTAACAGGAAGAAACCTCCAGCAGAACCAGGCTCGGTGTGAGCGGCCATCTGCTGAGGCCGACTAGGGTTCAAGGGGACAGAAGCAGAGATACAAAAAGCAGCTGTTGGAGGCGGCCCAGGAAACACACAGCCAAGGAAACGAGCTGTGAGCCAGCTCCCATGTCAGAGCATGAATAGAGCACATCCAGTTAGTCACAGTCAGAGAAACAGGACTACACTGGAAAAAAGGCAGATCTCCAACATCTATAAACAAGGGTGTGGATGGCAGCAGCACAGATTATATCTCAATGAGCTCAACAAGAAGCCAAAGTTAGACAGTAGAGTAATTGTTTTTAAACTTAGCGTGTTAAAAACTTAAGCAACTAAATTTTCACAAAAACTAGAGACTTGGGACATATGTTCATATCTACGACATAATAATATCTTTTTATTACCCCAGTTCCACAATCTAGAAGTAAAGTCTACACGATATGCGGATTTAGAAAACAGTTTTAATGTGAAGGTCCTTAATTACAGAGTACTAATGGGGAAGCTGCGCAAAACTTTACTGCGCAATAATATGATCACGTGTTTCAGACGTTTTGCCTAGGTGCGCCAGATAGAACTCTCTTTTCCTACAGCCCATCGAGCCCCTGAACGCCTCAGCGTGACCAATATGGCGGCGCCCCAGTCCGGCACATGCAACTTCTTCGTCCAGAAAAAGAACCGTTTCTGTAAGATGGTGACCGGGAGAGGGAAACGCTTCTGCGGGGAGCACGCGACCATGGTAAGGCCACAGCAGCCCCGCCCCCACCGGTGAAGCTGTGGATGGAGGATCGATGTTCCTGATCAGGATGTTTTTACTGTTCTAGGAGGAGGGGAGCGCTGGGAGCAGGAGGATCGCGTGTCCTCTTGACCCAAAACAGTGAGTGTTTACTGATCAGCCAGCTGGTGCTGCGGACCGCTCCGGATCAGTTACCAATAACTGTTCTTGTTTCAGCACCGTGGCTGAAGACAAGCTGGAGAAACACCTAAAGAAATGCAACTCTAGAGACAGACCCAAACCGGTGAGACACAGACATCTCCATCCATCCATCCATCCATCCATCAGGGGCGAAGCTAGATGCGGGGGCAGGGGGCTTTAATACAGATGGTGGCAGCTGTAATACTCTCAGTTGGAATATTGAATAAAAAATTTAATGTATTACTTACTTTTTTCATGTTTTCATAATTTCTTGACAACAAAAACACAGTGGTTAATTTTGCACATCAATATAGTAACATTAAATATGATAAATACAGAATTAATGCTCTTTTCAGAACTCGATTTTGTGTTATATGGGGTAAAGAGAAAATGATGTGAAACTCATCTAGGAGTCTTCAATAACTATTTGAATAAAAACATATTAAATAATCAATTTATTAGTACTTGTAAACATCAATTTTATGCAGATTGATTATTGGTACAAGTAGGTCAGTAATGACAATGGAAAATATTTGCGCTCCAGAACTTATAACTGAAAGGATTTTATCCACTATACCTATTATCTAGAAAGCACAGATGTTTAAATATATGTGTCTATTTGTTAGCAAAGGCTGCAGGAAAGTATATTCTGCCCATCCATCCATCCATCCATCCATCCATCCATCCATCCATCCATCCATCCATCCATCCATCCATCCATCCATCCATCCATCCCTTCCTTCTTCCCTCCCTATTGAGTGTTGTTGTTTTGCAGGTTTATTATGTGGAGAACATCAATGCAGGTCAGGCTGATGGAGACCAGAAGCTTCCACAGGTAAGAACCCTGCCTGCCTCCAGACATGATGAAGATGAGGATGATGATGACAGTGGTGATGATGATGACCTGTGTGTCAGGTGACTCTATCTGAGCTCAGCAGAGCAGCGTTGGAGTCTCTGGTGGAAAAACTAAAGAAAGCTGTTGAAGGTGAGTCTCTGCTCCTCTGAGTTCATTGTTACCTAGGTAACCACCTCTTCATCTGGTTCTTACACCTGTGCAGGTTTAGGTATAATCTGGCGACCAGTCAGAATCCTAGAACACTGAAGGTGAAGACCTTCAGAGGAAAAAGTGCGTCCAGCTTCTGATTGGTCAGATTTCAAACCTAGTTTTGTGTTTTTGTTGCTGCAGGTCTGCAGAGTGATGTGGAGGAGAGAACCCTGTCCCATCCCATCCTCCAGGAAGAACTTGTTAACCCAAAGAACGGAGACTCCGCCCACAAACACCTGAAGCAGCAGGTGAGGACAAACACTGACTGCAGGTCAGATGAACAGCTAAAAAGCCCACCAATTCATCACGCTTTACAATGTTACCCCCCCCCCCTTCTCTGTTAGAATTGTTATAAATCTGGACCAAAACCTGAACTGAGATCTAAACCTGACTTAACATTACCTCTGATCAGTGAAATACATTAAACATTAAAGTCAGAAACTGTGATTCACCTGCAGTCAGCTTCCTTAACAGGTGAGGAGGCGGAGCCTGGACTGCTCTACCTGTCTGACCCTACCCTTGTGTTCAGGCCTCTATCTTAGGTCACCTGCAGGAACTGGGGCTACTCAGAAGGGGGCGCTGCTTCGTGGAGTTCGGAGCGGGTCGAGGAAAATTGTCCCACTGGATTCACAGGGCCCTGAAGAACCCAGAACCCTGTCCAGACCAGAACACTGCCAAGGATCCAGGGTCCTGTGAGGATCTTCAGCTGCTGCTGGTGGAGCGGTCCAGCACCCGGTTCAAGGTAAAACTTCAGAAGATCTGTTTTTTTAGGGATCAGGCCCTCAGACACCAAGATCAGCTCAGACATTTCCAGAGGTTTCATGTTCAGGGTCTGTCGGGTTTTAGCTATCCTGTATTAAAGCTTTTAACACCAGACAGAACTTTGAAACCATTAGAACTGTGGCTCGGTTATAGGGCTGGTGGTTTGATTCTGAATTGCTCAACATGGAACTTTTCAAAGAGCAGAACCGCAGAGGACTGGGTCTATGAGGAGCCAAATCCGGATCATATCCTTCTCCCCTCTGAACTGAGCTGTGGGATTTATCTTTTCCAGGTGGATGGGAAGAATCAGGATGAGGGCGTGCCATTTGAGAGGCTGCAGGTGGATATTCAGCACTTGGATCTGAGTAAGAACCCAACATGTGGATCTTTAATTGGTGTGAAGGATACAATCTGATCCGACTCTTGTTTTCAGGTAAAGTTCCTCTGCTGAGGAAGAAGGAGCTCCCATTGGTTGGAGTTGGGAAGCATCTCTGTGGAGCAGCGACAGGTGAGAACCCTACAGACTGATTGGCAACTGCAGCACCGTCTCAGTTCTTCCATTAAGGTTCTGGTTCTGTTCGGTTCCAGATCTGGCTCTCCGGTGCTTATTGGAAAAACCCAGAAACGGTGAGGATCCTGAACCTCCTCCAAAACGTCTGAAAGGGCCCAGAACAGAGGATGACGCGGAGTCGGACCCACCTACCTCACATTCGGGGCCTGGTACCAGTCTGGGTCCGGTGCTGGGCCTGGCGGTGGCGCTGTGCTGCCACCATCGATGTGAGTGGCGTCACTACGTGGGTCAGAACTTTTTCCTAGAGAGAGGACTCGGACCCGAGGAGTTCTCTGCCTTCTGCCGGATGTCCAGCTGGGCCACATGTGGGATCAGACCGGCCAATCAGAACTGCCCTTCAGATGATCCAACCAATCAGAGGGGAGAGGAGGAGGAACACGAAGCAGCAGAGGAGGAGCAAACAGCGAGCGGGTAAATGTTTGAGCACGTCTCCGTAGTTATAGTAGTTAAAACTGATTGCCCGTTGGTAGAATGAAGTTGAAGTGAAGCCAACAGCCGCCATATTGGTACTCCCTAGTTACACAATATGTAAACAGTATGTGCGCTACAGCATTGAACAACGATGATGTTCTCACTTTCAGGGGACTTAAGATTTTTAAAAGAAAGATAAATTTATCACTTGGACACACCTGCTGTTTCACAGCATCAGTAGATTACTTTGTAATAAAAATACAAAAAAAAGGGGAACATCACATTGCACAGTCATTATGAAGTCAAAGAAAGTCTCTAAATGTACCGGTAATAAAAAATCCATATTATACACAATAAATTAATGTGTTAATGGAGCTTAATAATACAGATGTGCCAAAAGCGCTAAATTGATTATGTAAATGTATTGATTCAATTGTTATGGTAATTACAAAAAATGTTTTTTTAATCAATGTGACATGCAAAATATTTCTGCACATGACACATGAGATTTATTTATATATATGGGTCAAATGTTCGAGTTGTTTTTTCCCCTAAAAAAAAACATACAATATATTACATAACTTTTTCAAATGAGGGATGCAACAAACACTTCAAAAACGACAGTCATCTGCTTAATAAAGATCTACTACAGTGACATTTCACAGTAAATTACTTTCTATTTACTCTAATTTCTATTTTCTAACGTTAGACACGATGTCAATATATTGCCACACTAATGTTACGCTACATACTATACTACAGGATACATCGGCGTATATAAGGATTTTCTTGGTTAGCACATCCACTGACTATGAAAGTACCTGTGAAACTTCTTCCCACAGCCAATGCTACATAGGTAGGCTTTTTTACTGCGCGTCTCAGTGGGAGTGGGGAGTACCAAGATGGTGGCAAGTGGCTTTTCTTTTCTTGTGCAATCGGCAGTCCAGTGAATAAATAGCGATCAGTGGTCCAACCTCAGAGGATTTTGAGGATTGGTGAACTGAAAGATGTGATGCAAATGGGCTCTTTAAAGGAAGCAGCCCCTAAATAAGTTGCTTTCACGTGACTTCACAGAGCATCCACTGCTTTGCCGATTGTGGAAAAAAGTGTGTTTAGTGTTTACGGCTGCTCCAGTTGTTCTAGCAGAGTAAAGGCTTACTATTGAAAGCCTTTACTCTGCCCTAATATAGACTGGATCAGGTTCTTAGGCTGTCTGAGCCCTTTTGGTAACGTTGAGTCAGTAGACTGGGCTCCAACGGTCAACCTATGTGTAATAAATCAGCTATCACACCTTAGTGAAGACCAGATGATAATTATTTTGGGCCATGTGGTGTGGAGGTTCTGCACCAACCCGCTGACAGAGGCTATACTCCTCCAGACTGCTGTTTGGGGCGTTAGGATGTCGAATCATTGCGGCCAATTTAGGTCCCTTCATGCTGGTTATATCTTCCAGCAGTACCAGTCCACGCTACCAAAAGTCCCAACGTTTGGTTTAATGATCATGGTTTTACCGGGCTTGATAGTCCAGCTAACCCGCCTGACCAGAACCGCACAGAGAACCACCAGGAGCCCAGAACCGGTTCTCACCGGATTTAAATATCCAGACTTTCTGTGATATGAACCTTTCATTGATCGGCTGTTCTGAGGAGCTGAACTTTGAGATGTTATGCTCTGTGAGACAGAACCATCAACAAGACCAGAAAGAAAGGCTTATTCTATGTTCTATAGATCTGTAGATTTGGATTTTTTTTAGATGAGGGACAGAAATCCAGAACCTTTTCTGGACATATTTGTTCCTGAATCAGAAAAAAAAAAACCTGAAACAAGATTCCTAGTAGAACGTGTGATAAGTAAGCAGGTCCAGTTCTGATCGATGGAAACATCTGCTAAAGACAACAGATTTCTTGGATTAATCCAAAGATTTATTGACAGTGATGAGTCTGTGGTTCTGCAGGTTTTGGACAGCAGCTGAGCGGGAGCAGCTGGGTCGTCTCTGCAAAGTTCTGATTGACAGCGGCAGGCGGGACTTCCTGAGGACCCAAGGATTCAGCAGCAAACTGACCCGCTACGTAGATCTGGCAGTGACTCTGGAGAACGTCTTACTGACAGCAGTACCCTCCTCCTGATGTTCTGCTGGTCTGAGGTTCAGATGGGCCGGTTCTAAATGCTTATTGGACCATGCCGTTGAAATAAGGGGATCAGACTTTACATAAAAACTTGTTTAATTGAAGGGGAACTCTTCCTCAGCTACATTTCTTCAAATAATTTTCTATTAAAGACGTTTCAGGTCTTTGCTGCGTATCTCTTGATCCAAACTGTGTTTTTGTTCTTATCCAGTGAATCAGTTGATGAATTTGCTGGATTTTTATAGATTAGCTTCTGTAGAGCCCAGAAGAAGCAGGGATTCCAGAACCGATGAGTGTTGGTTATCTATCAGCTGAATCCTCATCGTTCTCTGAAAGGTTGAGAACAGAAACCCGTCAGAAGCTCTGACAGAAACCACAGGTCCGGTTAATACCAGGTTAGTCTGTCCAGCCGGTGTAGAGATGAAGGTTAGAATAGGATGAAATGGTGTCATCATTCCTGTTAGTGGGTCAGGTTAATGACCCGGTGGCAGCAGCGATCCGGTTATGTTGGTTAGACTCCAGAGCTGGGCGGTACTAACGGTTGACGCAGTGCATGTTGAGCACAGCGTAGGATCTCTTCCGCGCCTCCTGGATGTACATCTGCATGAACTCCCGTCCAAACATCTCCCTGTCGTCCTCGTCCTCTCCGTCCTCGGCCGCCTTCCTCGGAGGCAGGGTCACATCCATGGTCAGAGGGTTGTCTCTGAAATTTACAAACCTGGAGCAGAAAAAAATGGAACAGAAATCAGTCAACAGCAACATCAAGACATGAAACACCTTCTGACCACAGACCCGCCAGAGACGGAGAAAGAGCTGCACTTTAGACCGACTGGTTCAATTCATTAAGGAAGTCGGGATGAATGTAATTCTGACAAATAGGCTTACAAGAAAAAATTACTCCTACAAGCAGTTTTATTTAAATAGTGCATGTAAACTAAACTATTCTCTAAGCGCATTTTAAAGGTTACGCGTATAGATGTTGCACACATGCGTCCATGCTCCTTCTCTGTACCCATAGCCTCTGTTTCTGTGTGAAACAGACTTGGAAGGCTAAAATATTTGTCATTCATAGAGTTTAACTTTGTAACTTGCATATGTACTTATATTATACCACATTCTATTTCTCTTTTATTAGTTTTGTCTCATTTTTTACTGTTTTTTTATGTATTCAACCATATTTTATGCCTTGTAAAGCTTTTAATTTTCTCTCTAAACAACAGTCCACCTTGTAAGACCAGTTTGTTTTTTTATTTGTAAGGGAGTGTATCAACATCATTTTTTTCTCTTTATGTGTAACAAAATGATTGATAAGGACACCATACCGAGAAAGTGTTTAACTCAGGGTGGATACCACATGATCAGGTGGATAGTAGCAAAGAGTAAGATATGTTCTCTACTTGGAGGTAACTTAAATTGTAATAGATGCAAAGTTCAAAATAAGAAAAGTGATGACTTGGGAGAAAATAAACATCTGATTGGCTATTTTACAGGAAATCCTGCCTATTTAGACAATGCTGTCTTCTTCCTGGGTGTGGTGAATGTTTGCAAAGCTTCGCCAGGCTAATTGCTAATGTTAATTAACCAGATGTGACACTCTGTGTTACACTTTAAGCAACGGACTAAGTTACTTTTTTTAGTGTAAGGATGCTACTTCCAACACTAGTTGGACAGATTGACCTAATCCTCTGTGGACTGGCCTGAGGTCAGACAGCGTAGGCCAGGACAGCAGTACCTGAGGTTGGTCATGTCCTCCATCAGTGACGGGATGTCTCTCAACCTGTTGCAGCTGAGGACCAGCGTGTCCAAACTTGCCATCCTGCTGATGCTTTCTGGGAGTTTTTCCAGCTCGTTCCTCTGCAGCCAAAGCGTGTGCAGCTTCTCCATCCTAAGCACACGTCCTGCCATTAATGGGCTGTGGGTGGAATGGGCGGAGTTAAGGTGTTTCTCCATCACCTACCTGTAGATGTCGTCAGGTAATAGCTGCAGGCGGTTTCCTCCCATGTCTAGCCACTCCAGACCCGGCATGGCGACCACACAGTCCGGGAAGAAGAGGAAGTCGTTCATGGATAAATCCAAGTGCTGAAGCCTCTTAAGGTTCCTCAGCTGGAGTTCAGAGACCAACAGAACCCAGGTCACCTGGACCAGAACTAGATATACAAGTTCAGGTTCACAGAAATGTGATAAAACCTTCACTTGTTTAAAACCTGGCCTGAATGACCGACTGATTAATACCCGAATTATACCTGGTCTGGACTTTAACCTGGTCTAACTCATTCCAGGGGTCTGTTTCACAAAGCAGGTTTACTAAAAACTAAGTTTTGATGCCCTAAAAGTAATCTTCAAACAGGAAATCCCATTCAATATAGACATTGCCTTATTGGGAGAAACACCTACAACTATTATTACACGAGATGAAAAATATCTTTTGAATAAATTATTAACCAGCTACTCTAAAATGTATAACAATCAGATGACTCAAACCTGAGCCTCATTTATACAATATTTGGATTCAGAAGGTCTGGGATATATACCAAATGGAACAGATAACCTATTCTCTGAGAATACAAATACTTATATTCACTAAACGTTGGAAACCTGTCGTACCACTAATAATGCAATGATGTTTTTTTTTTTCCCCAACTTTCAAAGTCTGGAACTTTTACCTTTCATACTCTTGAAATCACTCTGTTGTTTGTGTTTTGTTTTTTATGTTTAAAAGTGTAAAAAAAATACACATGTACATTCGTACCACACTGTATTATTTCGGAAAAAATTATTTAAAAAAAATTGTTAAAAAAAATAAATAAAAAACATTTGGTTTTCTAAACCTGAAATAAGGGAAACTCTGATATTTCCGTTTCACAAAAAAAAAAGTTTACTCAACCTCTGTTACCATAGTAACATTCTAAATAGGGCTAACCTGGTTGGAAGCAGGTTTCCCTCAATAAACCTCTGTCTCCACCTTCCTCACAGCCAATTACGTCATTTTATTTCATGATTTAATCACCAGAGTTCTGTTGTAGTTTGGTGCAAACAATAAAATCATTCACTGGGTCTGTTAGTAACATCAGGTGTTAGAAATAAAACACAGCTTGCCCTTTTAACGAGGATCCAATTAAAGAATAAGTGGCATTAATTCACAGAATAATTAAATATTTATAGGGAGAGGGTTTTCAGACCGCCTTAAGAGGCCATTTCTTATTCAGTTATCTTATTGAGTGCTATAGTTTCCCTCACAATCCATCACATACATCCACGACTTTATCCATCTTCGCATTAGCAGCATTACACAGACTTACTTAACAGGTACTTATAAGTGATATCCGTGAGAGAACATTGATGTGCGATAACAGCATCTTATCAAGCCAATGCAAAAAACATCAGAGAGACACTTATTTACCAAGTAATGGAAGACAGAAATAAAATGAGGAACCCCATGAGATGATGCACAGATTCTACCTGTTTGAACAACTTTGTTATACCTCATCTTCACCTTCCGATAGGTGTGCTTCTCTCCAGTAAGATTTCACTTAAAAATAATCATTGATCCACTACCATTCAACCAGTTAACTAGTTCCTCCCCAATGTTAGAATCATTATGACAGCTTAAGGCAGGCCGTTTAGATATGTATTATTTTGTCTGGATAAGTATTTTACTATCTGAAATATATATTTTTTTCTTGTCAAAAGAAAGTTTTTAAATGAAATGACATTCATCACATCAAGAATAAACATTCCGGTTGTCTTGAAATTAATTTCAGCTCTCCATATTCCTATTGTTATTGGGCAGCATTTGTATTATTTTGATCAGAAAGAGACATTTCAGATATCATAAATACATAATCAGTCAAGCTGAGAAATGGGAAAATGGCCACTTAAAATGTGTAAAGATTTCTAGGTATATAAAAGTTACTATCAAAAAAACTATTTATTTTTTTTTCTTTTACTTTCTGAAATTCAGTTTTTGCTTCAAAAATGTAATTTAGAACCTCTATTATTACAGTTCAGACTAGGAGTGTGATTTTGACCAGGAAGAATCCTATTGTAGTGATCTAAAATGGAACAACACAGAGCAGAGTGCGTTTTATTTAAATGTTCAAACTGCCTGCCATAAAACTCTTTGTATAAACTAATGCATTAACTCGAATATTAATCATCTCCTTCACCATCTTCCTCTCCTTTGTAGCTGTAGTGCTGTTGCTCTGTTTTAATTTTTACATTAAAATCTCTTATTACAGTGGTGTGAAATTGGCCCTTACTGTTGCCATAGTGAATCGTCGAATCGAGGCTCCAATGATAATGGCTTATCATACTTGTTACGCACGTGTTCAACTCTGAGTGGCTCTACTTAGAGCGATGGCACTAATTCATAGCTGCTTTTTTGAAATAGAAAAGTTGGGAGTTTCCAATCTAGATCAAATCAGAGTTCAGGATTTGAGTGTGAGTTTGTTGAACATGCTTTGTAAAGTGGGCCTCTGGTCTGGACCAAAACCCTGGTGTAACTCATGCCTGGTCTGAATCTCACTTGGTCTGGAAGCTCGTTGAGGTCCCGGTTCATAGCCAGTTCTAGTCTCTCCAGACTCTCACATCCACTCAGTTCTTCAGGGACGAACTGGATTCTGTTGTAGCTCAGCAGCAGTTCTCTGAGCCGGGTCAATTTACCTGGAACCAGAGAAGTCTGTTTAAAATGAGGCTGACTTTACCTACCATCAGATCATCTGCCCCATTATTCAAATGCTTTATGCCTGGTTTAGTTTACAAAGTAGAGGCTTATTCAGGTGTGTGATGGTACCCACCAATCTGTTTGGGGATCTCTGTGACTGCATTACGGGACAGATCCAGAACCAGAAGGTTCTGAAAGCTTGAAATATAATTAGGAATCTTTAGCAGGCCAGTCCTGTGGATCTGCCACTCCTGGACCTGAATGAATTGGACCAGGCATGCTGGCAAGCTCTGGGAGAATGATAGACAGGTCAACAGGTTGTTCTGGATCAGGAAAAAAAATGGTTCCATTGCTGTTTGGGATACCTTCCACTCCTCTTGTTCAATGCGGAGAACCAGTCTTCCATCTTCTGTCTGCAGCTTTTCCTTCAGCCGAGCCAGAATCGCCCGGTCCTCCCAGACCCGGACACCGAGTCTGGCCCAGAAAGTTTAAATGAAGTTAAAATCAGTTAGACCAGAACCTGCTAGGGAGATCTTAGACTGGTTTTCAAGGAACTTCTTATTTCTGCTGACGTCTTGCACAGCATTATACGCGCAGTGATGAGAACAGAATGCAGGAGGCAGTTTAATGGACCGCTTCTCAATATACAGGTAAGCTGCTGCTAAGATGGTTGGACGGAAAATAGTGTTTTTTGACAAGCATTACAAATATGCAGGAATAGTACATTAAAGTTTTCTATTGAGATAAAAAAATGTTAGGTATAAAACAGAAAAAAACTCTTCAAGACATTACCTCATGATTCAGTTACAATAACTACTAAACACTGATTAACTTTTTTTTCTCTAATCATCTTCATCCATTAACTTATATCTTAGATTTCTACATCAAAAATAGGAATTAAAGGTATAGTAAATGTGTATTTATTAAAATAACAACCAGTGGACCATGAAACATTAACATCATTTCAATATGCAAAGAAGAAGAGGCAGGATGATTTCTATAATGTACAAGGAGAAGCAAAAGTGCCGTTTAATAATTAAGAAGTACTCTATTAAACTATTTTTTTATTATAAAGTTACAATGGAAAAAACAAAAATAAAAAAAATTATAGGATGATAACGTTAACTTCAACTTTTTATATCCCAGAGAAAAATACATATTCTATATATTATACTATATTGAGGTACTGGCAGTTGACGGAGCGACTGGGCCAGAGCGGCTCAGAGAGTACATTGACTATATGGAGTGGAACATCATTAGACTTCTCCCCTCATCCTCTCCATTTACCCCTGCTGGTGGTGCAATGCAGTGTGAGAGACGACCAAATCAGCAAGCCAGAACACACCGTCTACTTTAGCCTCACTCACCTTTATCAGTAGTTCAGATTGGAAAGATGATGTTTGACTGAATAATCTGTTACCATGACAACAAATTGAAACTGCTTTCTGCCTGCCTATATCTGGATTTCCCAGACAGTAAAACAAGCAAATCTGTGCAGCCTACAGTTTCATCCAGATCCCAGTCAGGGTTACAATATAGATTAAAGTAATAGAAAAAGTGGGTGGGGTCTTACCTGCCTGTGGTCCCACCCCTGGATTTCTGCCTCCTCTGCTCCTCCTCCTCCTTAACTCTCTTGATTCGCGTCTCCCACAGAGCTTTGATGGAGCTCACCGAGCTGCAGACCACCGCACCCGCCATGACAGCCAGATGATGTCACAGGTGGGGCAACCTTTGACCTCTGAGCTGCAGGCTCATTCCCCTCTGAGGATCCTAGACGACATGATCATAGTCATCAGTACTTGGTTATGAACAGTACGAATGCAGCAAATCAGAGCCATTAACTCCTGTTCCTTTACTTCTCATGGGGTCAACAGTAAATACTCTAACATGGGTAGAAAAGCAGCTCTGGACTGCTGTGCAGAGATCTCAGATAACACTTGTCAAATTGGGACTGCAGATTTTTTAAATAAAGGACTACAAATAAACACAAGTTACATATATGTAGGGAATGGCTACATATGTATAATTTCTCTATTATAAAACCCAATATATATGAAGGTGTTTACATCAGCATGGTGCACACAGAGTACAGTGAAGAACTAAGTTATTTAGTTAATTTCCATGAGATGGGCTGTGATTATTGGTCATCTCAGACAAAGCATTGTCGGTATGATGCTAAGCGGCATTTTGAAACCTAAAGGAACCATTATAGGAAGCATAGAGGCCCCTTTCACCACCTCCTTCCTCACTGCCAGCACTGTTTAGAGCAAACTTATAATGACGAATGCTCAGGCATGTTTTGGCCTTGGCTAATGAGTGCTTACTTTCAGATCAAGCCCCAGAAAGACAGCTGCCACTAATGAGGTTATCAGCAGGTAAATTGTAAAGATGACTCTAATTACCTGATAGCGGGTGAATAAATAATCTGGAGCTTTAAATGTTGAAATGATTGCACCCAAACCTGTTTACTAAAGCTAAGAAGGATGGGTGAAGAGAGAAGTGCGGCTCTGGGAAAGTTTACTAATTAAATATGCAGCTGGAGAGGATACCTGCAGTCTCTCTTATAAAGCTTGTGCATGCAAAAAACAGGGACGGAAACTTGTGTACGATGCTTTGCTTTGCAACTTGGCATTAAAATCGGCTGTCCTTCATGCCAACTTCGACCCATGCATGGGTGGTATGCACATTTTGGAGGCAGGGAAAGCAAGCAACACAGATGGTGAGGTGGGGACATAATTCAGATTGCATCATAATTCCTCTCATTTATTTTCATTTCATATTAAATTGTAGTTATAGATTGACTTTATTGGATCCCACACTGGAGTGATATATGCTTTTACTGCTGAGCCGTAACGATTCATGAGGACCTGTCGCATAAAGAAAAAGTTTGTAAGTTGCTAAAAGTATAAATCAAAGTGCTCAGATTATTTCTCCCCATCAAATTCCTCCAAAAAGTGAGTGTAACCACAGATCAAGACATAAATGTGTCAGAGTGAGACACATTCACTTGTATTGCTGTAAACTTTTAAATCCTGTTGTAAAGCCCACGTGTAAAGGTGAAGGATGGATACTTTTGCTCTGCTGGAAGATGCTGAAAATGGGAGAATTGGGAGGGAACACATTTTCAGGAACCACCAGGATTTCCTGGCCCATGATGATGACTGGCTTATGAGCCAATTAAACTCCCTGGATACACCTGTACTGAACTTGGTCCAAAATGTGGTCAGTGTGCACAACTTGATTGTAGATAAAAATGGAAGGCTAGCTGGTTGCATGGGTCAAAAGAAACACAATTAAATACAGATAACCAGCACTCAGTGGTGAGATTTGATTTATATCTATACATTGTAGGTATATGTCAATCATTTATGTAATATGGGTGAGGAAGGGATGTAGCTTCGTGCTGCAATCTGTTTATTAAAGATACAAAATAATCCACACATCTATAGAGAGATTACAATGTTAATGTAGGTAACAATGTTTCCTAAAGAGCAACTATCCTCCTGACCATTCCAAAAAAATACAATCATAGTTACTCTAAATAGCCTCTTCTGACATTAGTCCATCCATCAATCTGCCTCTATTAAGTCAACTCAACCAGCTAGTTATTGCTAGCTGCGAAATCAGGCAGCCATGGACTGAAAGGGGTGAGGAGGTCCAACGGCTGATGCTGATTAGCTGATTGATTCAGTTGTAAAAAGTCATTATGAAATAAATAGGGCCAACATCATTATGGAATAAAAACTGTTAACAATAATAATTGATTATTATTGTCCTTATATATTATCCTTTATTGATCTCACATTGCAGAAATTAACTCTCTGCATTTAACCCATTCCCTTAGGAAGCAGTCGGCTGCCATCGTGGGGCGCCCAGGGAGCAGTGTGGGGTTAAGGGTCTTGCTCAGACACCCAGAGTGGCAGTCTATGGGAGAGGGGCTCAAACTCAGAACCTCAGTATTCCAAGCTCTATGCCCTAAATAAAATGACACAACAATCATTTCTATAATTGGGAACAAATAATGTAAAAACATATTTTTTATTACATATATTTCATAAGATGAAAATTCTAAATTCTGCTTTTTTCATAATTTCATCGTCACATTATATATTTATGTAGTATTTGATCAAGTATTTATTTCATAATGTTCATTTTTTTTAAATTATTACTTTATTATCAGCATTTGTGTTCCATAGATCAGGGGAATTAAGCCCTGGTCCTCAGGGCCCACTGACCTGCTTGTCTCTCTGCTTCAGCACATCTGAATCAGATGATTGCATTTCCTCCTCAGCAAGTTCCAAGGGCTGGAGAGGGATGTTAATCATCCATTTATTTAAATCAACATTTGAATTGAGAAAGCTTCCTGGAGAGGCGGCGAAACGTCTTCAAATCTTGAAAACCAAGTCCAGTGGATTTTTTGAATTTTTACGGAATTTAAATCAAGTGTGTGGGGGGGAGCCCTAAAACATGCTGGACCTTAGATGACTGTCATATGAGCCAATCTCCATAGATCAGGGGTCTCCAACCCTGGTCATTAAGATCTACTGTCTTGCTGGTTTTAGAGGGATCCCTGCTCCAACACAGCTGATGCACATGAATGGCTCGTTACCAGGCCTGCAGGGCATGCTGTAGAGCTAATTTAGTCATTTGAATTAGCTGTTAGAGCTGGGATGCATCTCAGATCTGCAGGACTGTAGATCTTGATTGTTCCAGGACCCAAAGCATTCCTCTTGGATCAGAGTGCTGAGTCGGGTCCAATAATGGGAAACTGACCCACAAAACCCACAGCATCCAGGAGGTCAGTGCACAACTGTAATCTTATAAAATTAAAAATAATAAAATAAAATAGGGAAGGGTAGCTGGGTGCACAGTTTAAAAATAATACAATTAAATATAAATGGCCAGAATCGTTTGTATTAAACTATTAAAGGAGTCTTATATTTCAAATATAATTGTATGCATATATAGAGTAAACATATTTAAATGATTGAATATCAATGTATCTTCATGATGCAGTCATTTTAATAAAGATCAAAGAGTAAACAGCATTTCAATCTTACAGACAGCACAGCGTGCTGTTTATCAGCCTTTGTCTTTCATTCATTTCCGATGTGAACTATTCTGGGTTCTTGGCTAACAGCTCCAGTGCAAATTCCCACACAGGTGTTAAACATAAACAATTAACTCTGTGCTTGAAGCCACTTTTTGGACCAAAACGATTCTGTAAAATTCTCCATTAATCTGAGATATCACAGCCAGCACTTAGTGCAGAACTACCCGCCATCTTGAACATTCTTGTTAATATGATCACTCCATTTAAGACTCTTTATCCCTCATAATTCTTCCATTTGTTTGTTGCCACTAGTGAAGCAAGCAAACATATTTATCCAACTTCCCATTTAGCTCACCAACACACCTGTTTGTGGCTCTATCTTCCTAGGGGTTACCATTGGTAACCATTCAAAAACTTATCAGGCTCATTTCAATATATAATGCCATTCACGAGGTGCTTTGCATCAACCATTCATCACAATGAACAGTGGCAGCCTTGATCTCAATCCTTTAGGTACAGCTGGGATTTATAAAGGAAAAAACACCTGATTTTGTTTGTGGGCCTGATTTGTAAATCTGAATTTATAACTAAGCCATTTGTGGGATGTTTCTACACTTTTAGTATGGATCCTTTGCTATGTTTATAAATGAGACCCAAGGTCTGTTTCCATGCACTTGCTCAAAAAGTTCCAACTTATCCTGAATGCTGCAGAAACTGCTGATTTTAGAGACTTGGAATGGTTCAAACTGGGGCTGATCAGGTACTGTCCTGCAGAGCTGCCCTCTTGCATCACTGATTCTACACACTGGAACTCTCCAAAAGGATCATTAAGTTCCCCAGAGGCCAGAGTCAATCATCTGGTTCATGTATGATGGACAAGGGGCGTGCACATAAAAGCTTTAGGATGAAAACTCTGGAGGATTGGACCAGAGCAGCCCTGCTTCTATTTCTAATTCCCTTTTTTTAAAGCTACAGTGTGTAATAATAAAAGGGAA